ATGGACCAGAAAATGTTCAAATCAGTGGTCCAAGTGAGATACAATTGAAAGAGACCTTAACATTACTCTGCTTTGCTGAGTCCGTACCTGCTACTTACACCTGGATGCTGAACGGGACAAAGATACACAATTCTTCTGTTTTCACCAAAAAGATCACTGAATCTTCTGATAGTGGTGACTACATCTGTGAAGTGATGAATAGTATAACTGGGAGAACATCGTCAGCGGTCCATGGATTGTCTGTAACAGGTACCAAAATGATGTTGATTTTGTTGATAATCTGGAATATTGAAGCCAACCCACAGTGTTATACGTCTGATTATCTGAAGTGTACTAGAATGGCTATGCTAGTAGCAGCTAATGTAGCGTCACGATGCTAGCTTCAAGCAGAGATGAGGAGCGGGCTACAGAAGTCCGGTAACCATCTTCTAACTCCACACCCCCACATTTTGTTTATCATTTTCAAACTTGTTATCCTTGTTTTACTTGTTATCTTTATCCTTTTTGATTTGACCAGATCATTTTACTTTTATTAGTCAGGACCATATATTCAGACATATTTTACATTCACCTCACTTGTGATTGTTTTTAAGAGTTTACAAATAGCTGATATTGCAAAATTGAATGGTTGTGTGATTTTGTATTTTTTTCAGGTAAAGACGGGTCTGGAGGTCTTTCAGCTGGTGCCATTGCTGGAATAGTTATCTTGTGTTTAGTGGCTTCTTCTGCTGGAGCTGGTGGAGGGTACTATCTTTACAAAAAAAAGTAAGTTAAAGAATAGCTTTTATTACCAGTCAGACAATTGTCCCTTTTATTATGTCGTAATAGATGACTGACATTAGATTAACCCTAATTTAACACTGACTTTAACCTAATCTCTTGTAATTAGACTTATATAATGAACAGAAAGGATTTATTGTATTACATGAATGACATTCTTAACATATTCATGGAACGTCAATGACAATATATCTGTTGATTACATTCATAATTCTTTGCATTGAAAACACATAACTGGTGTAAGAATTGGTGGTTTTGCATTTTTAGTGCTCAACTTAAAACAGTAAACAATCTTGTATTAAAGTTTAGAAATCCCTTATCGAATAATGTTGGGAAAAGTCTACCCAAAGGCAACACAGGTTACAGTTTGAATTCTGAGTTGCATCTTGTGGTATGGACACATTTTAACAATGCTTTATTTCTAATATTTAGAATCAACAAGAAAACTCCACCAAATTCTGAAAGTAAAGGTTTCTATTCATCTGCTCTAATTCATCCTTTTGTATATATATATATATATATAAAAAAAAAAAAAAATATATATATATATATATATATATAAATAAAAGACAGTATGCAAAATAAACTACAGTATATCACAATTATATTGCATTTACAAACAATATGACCAATAAGATGAAATACATCTTTTTTTGCCTAGAACTAGAAGAACGTGCGTATGAGAACACATCAGCGATATATGAAAACACATAAAACCAACGATCATCTTTCCCTTAAAAGGTGAGTTTTTAATTAATTGATCTGATTTGGTAAAACATGTATGAATGTATTTTGTGGGAAAATGCACCAAGAGTTTTCAGTGGAAATGATTTTATGTAGTTCAAATGAAGAAACTATTGTAGGAAATGCTTACTGAACAAACAGTTGATAAGAGCCAAAACACTTGACATGAGTGACATTTCCCTTTATTTTCACTTATGTCGAGCAGAAAACTTGGAGGATGAAGAGCTCCACAACAAGATAACACATTTAGCAGCCATGACATAATCATCAGCTTATTGATCTTTACAGGTAAAGTGTCAGCAAACCTTTGCCTTTTACTCATTCAGTAGAGAGCAACAGTAGCACTTTTAAAAATAGCTATGATGACTTAAAAAAAATAATTTCTTGTTCTGCTATTACTAATGCGTTTGCATTTGTATGTGTTTGCATGTATTTTGTGTACTTAGTTATTTCTATATTGAATATCTAATGCTGGCTTTTATTCTCGTGTTTTATTATTGTGTCAACATTGAACAATATCAGGTTGGGATAAGAGATTATGCAAAAGATAGATACAAATAATTGCAACACAAAATATTACGTTTTTTCCTCTTATATGGTTTTAACAGCAACTGAATATGTAACAGTCTTTTATATATAATGGTCAGACAGTGGCAGCTGTGGAATTTATGTACTTATTGTTTATTTCAATTCATACATTTGACATTTGTGTACTGCTAACAAACTATAAATAAAACAATGAAGTTGTGCCTCTGAGGTTTATTCTTGATTGTTGACTAAGCTTCGTGGACAAGTCAAAGCTGATCATCAGACTTTGAAAGTGCTCTTTATGAATGTAATCCTATGGCAGCTGTAATTATATGACAATTGTTAAAGTTAACACTGATAATCTAACAAAACGTTGAATTGCAAAATGTCTGAATAATGAGACAAATCCGTTGAATCTGCAGATGACTTTTATGCCAAAAGCTGCAGAATGCCGCCGTCCTGTGATGGACTGTAGTTATTGTGGAATAATGCAATCTGGTGAATAAATAATCTCTATAAACAAGATTTTGGTATAGGAAGAATGGCTGCACAATAAAAAAAAATCTAATTTTGATTATCATATTGCACATATTGTGCCTATTGCGATTTGAAAATTGTAGTCGGCCATATTGAGATTTTGATTTAATTTTGATTAATTGTGCAGCCTTAATGGGAAGCATTTGCATTTCCATTTGTAATCTATGTAGTATTTAAACCAATCACGTTTGAGCCGGCTTTGGTTGGATGCATGAAAACAGTCCGAGCAGAGAGCAAAAGAAGCTGAAGTATTATCTGAAATGTAATGTGGAACCAATAAGCAAATGATTTTCCTTTTTATCAGCTTCAAATTAGCATGTTAGATACTTTTGAACCTTGGACTGCAAACAATGAACAATGCACGGAAGAGGAAGTCTTGGCCCTGATATCCACTGACTATACTGGAACATCAGAAATATTTCACCCTGCCACCAGTCGTCAGATCGAGGTTGGTGAATGAAAGACGTTGAGCAAAGTGGTATTGATGTAATTTACTGATGATGATGATGATGATGATGATGATGATTAACTCTCCCTGAGGATCTTTTAAGCTCACATTAGACTGTCGCTCAGTCATCCTTTGGTCCAGACTGTCATCCAACAACTACTGGATGAACTGCCATGGCATGTGATTTAGACATTCACATCCCCTTTGGGACTAATTTAGATAAATCCCTTCGTTTTTCCTCATCAGGTATTAATTAACATGGTAAACTTTTAATGTTAGGACCCTCTTTTGTTTCCAATATGTGTTATCTGTTTTAGTATAACTGTTGAAATTGGTTTCATTGTTGAGCATTTTATTCAATTTCATTTTTGTATTATTTCTAATTGCCCGATTTTATAATTTCCTCATTCCAGTCCTAACACTTTAAATCTCTGTTTTAAAAAGTGCTGAATAGATAAAGCTTATTATTCTATTGTAGTGACCGTTGCTTCCCAATAAAAAAGTCACTACGGTTGCTGAAATGTTTGTTCTGACACGTGCCATAAATAACGAAGTCCAGTTTCCAATATAGGCATTTTATTTCTCACATAATCAGAGTTCCACCACTTTCTCTTCAGTTATCCATTTTCTCCATAAACCAATAAATCATAACATTTACATTCGTTAAATGTGCACACGTCAGAACAAACATTTCAGCAACCGTAGTGACTTTTATTGGGAAGCAACGGTCACTACAATAAGTCAAAAACTGTTTGCTTCTACCTATTAGCAACAACCTGTGTCCAATGACCCCACTGATTATATTACCTGTGCTCTGATTTACACCGGCACTACGCCCCCATGTGGTGGGAGGTTGTACAAAAACAAAAACAACCAAATGGCTCTTACATCTATTGTTATAAGCATCACCATGTTTACATTGTTACTGCATGTTAGCGTGCTGATGTCAGCATTTAGCGCCCTGCTATGCCTAAATGCAGTAGAGCTGTGTCACAGTGTGGCCGAAGACTCTTGTTCCTAAAGTTTCTGTCATGATCAAGTTAGTAACTAGTAACTAAGAAGTAATCATGAATAACAATCATAATCTCTGGTGTTGAGAACATGCAGTTGTCTTTTATTAGCTCGTTATGCAAGTTTGGAGGGCAACAATAAGAAATGGTTGATTGAGTTAATAATTAAGCTTGCCCAGCCTGTGGACGTCTTGATGACATGTTTTATTGATTGCAGATTATCTCAGGGACACTTTTTCCGTTGTTGCACAAAGTCAGACGGCAGATGGTCAGATAACATTAGAAGAGGACCAAACTAAGTAATACACCATGAGCTATACATTTCTCAAGTCAACCATACTTTTGTTCCTCTCCGCAGGTAAGAAATGCAAAAGAAATTATTTTTACATTCATCAAAAATACAACTAGAGGTTGACAAATGTTGGCTGACCGGTAAATGTTTCAGCAGATATCTGCTATGGAGCCGGTGTACTCACTGTTGACTTACTTCATAGAGCAACGGGGGAGAGTGTGACCTTCACAACATCTGTAAAACCACAAGCCAAACCATTTATGGCATTGGCTTGGACTTTCAATAGTACCACCAATGTAATAACCTCAACCAGTGCAGATGTGGTGGGACCAGGCTATGAGAACAGGATCACCCTGGATAAATTCACTGGCTCTCTGGTGCTAAGAAATATGACTAAAGAAGACAGCGGGCAATACAAGTTAATCATCATCCCCTACGGAGCAGCGCAGATTCAAGGAACGGCTAAACTGGAGGTGCTGAGTAAGTTAGACTTCATTAATCTGACGGTGTATTTAAAATAATGCTTGTGTAATATCAATGTATTTGGACTGAAAATACCAGCTACTATTAACAAGATGTCCGTTTTGAGAATGTCTCTTTCTATTCAATTTTTGTGCACAGCCAAAGTGTCGAAGCCCACCTTGGCCTGCCCCACAGAGAACTTAATGGAAGGTCAGACCTCCCTTAACCTAACCTGCCATGCTGACAGCCCCGTGTCTCGCGTGTGGCTGAAGGACGGCAAACCTCTGGTTCCCGGAGACAGATTCAGCTTTCACGATGGCAACAGAGTGTTGTCCATCAGCCCCTTGAACAGGAAAGACACTGGAGAGTTTCTTTGTAATGTCAGCAATCATTTCAGTTTTGATACGGACAAATGCAGACTTAAAGTCTACTGTAAGTACTTTCTATTGTACTTTAATATGCCACAGCACTTTTTTTTTTACATGTATTTGCTTATGAGTAATTATACGATTTTTTTCTTCCGTCTCATTATAATCATTGTCTTTCTCATCTTTCCAGGGGGACCTGACCAACCAAGAATTGTTCAGACTCCAAATGGAGCAGAACTTGAAGAGAGTGTTTTACTGAGGTGCTCTGCTGACTCCCTACCAAAGGCATCTTTCTCCTGGACGTTCAAACACACGACGATGAAGGGACCTTCACATTACATCGATGAGATGGAAAAGAGGCACCTGGGGAAGTACACCTGCACAGCCCGTAACCTTATCACTGGTCTGGAAGCCTCTGTGTTCCACACACTGTGTGGTATTTAAGCTCTCATTCATAACTCTATATGGTACCTTATTGATAATGATATGTGATGGCAAATGGAAAAGACAGAGTAATTCTTTTTTTCTTCTGATCCAGACTCCTCTACTCCCATCACTGGTTCTATGTCCATGATGTTTTGCACTGTCCTGACCACGGTGACACTCATATCGGTCTAAAGACTACATTTAATCTGGGGAAATTATGTTAAATAACAAGCTTGCTCATTTGAAACTTCCATTGTCTTTATTTTGGATAATTTATCTGTGTTAAGTATATTGCTATGTCTCTTTAAATTGTATGTTCACATAAAATATGACAAATGACAAATAAAGCAGTGATCCTTCACATTGATCCTTCACAGCTGTCTCAGTTTTTCTATTAATTGTATATTAAGACAACAAAAGTATCACTAATTGTTGTAATGGCGCCTTTCAGAGAACAAACTACAACTTCCAGCTTTGGTCTCATTACTGCTAACAGATTCAGCTTTAATACTGTAAATAACTCTTGATACTACAACGTTTCAGGTGCTGTAAATAGACCTACTTTATATACTTTATTCTTGAGTCATTCAGCTCAAGCCTAATAAAAGTGTTTGATGTTCTTAAAAGGTGACTGAAGCCTGATAATGTCTAATCAAATTGCCACTATAATAAACTTTTATTAAAACTCTATATCAGATTCTGTTGTGTTAATGACCACCATCATGTACATTCCATTCGTATTTTTTGTTAGGGCCTGCATGCTGCTGCCATAAACCTTTAAGCATCAACCTACTTTAACCCAGGTATTCTTAGAGTGCATAAAGCAATGAAGCTTAAGGCTGGGACTGAATCCAGGACTTGAAACTCTAGTCATAAAATAAGAAAAACAAGTAAAAGGATTGGAAAATTATAGTTGAAAACTAAGAATAATTTGCTTTTCAAGATAATAGAATCTGTATAATCCACACAATGATGCAAATGTATCAATTTTATTGCTTGATTTTGCAACTTTCCTGAATACCCAGGGACATTTCTTTCAAACAGCACTTTTGGCTACTTTTAAAATTAATTTGGAAAGTTTTAGTGGCTTGTACGGATAAGTACTTCCCAAGCGTGACACTGTTAATGCTTAAGTGTTTTTAGATATAAGCAAAGATGCATGTGTTTGGGAAGTAGCGATCTTCCATTGATTTCTAATCATTATGAATTTTCATAATGTCATAATGGTGTGACGACACCTGCCCTTCCATGCCAATATGTCGTTAATCTATAGTTATGTATTTAACTAATAACTTGCATATACATTTTGAAAATAGTGTCTCCAAAATCTGACTTCTTCAAATTACAACCCGTATAAATAGTAGAAGTAGACAGTAGAGTTGACAAATGTTTTCTGAATGCACAAGCCAAATTTGTCACCACATGGATAATTGCCAATGCGTAATATTTTTCAAACAAACAGTCATATTGTGATATCATCACACCAGCACAGCATGTCCAGCATGTGGTTTTATTCATTTATCATCACTGTGTTATAAATGTATCATATCAGTGTAACATATTGTCCAGGCTGCAACACACCCGAGGGAGTAAAAGTTTGACTGCATGAGAAAACGTCAGAGTGCAGGAACTTTATGCCACCAGATTTCATGCTAGCATTAACATAAAATATATAAAGCTCTTGTGTATTCAAAAGACCTGCTGTTAAAATGCATGATATTCTAAGTAGATAAAGGAAAAAGGAGCAAGAGAATCAACTTTTTCCTTCGTCATTACTGCAAAATACATTGGTAAAAAAAATGTATAAAAAACTATCCCACAATACATTTCATCTACTGTATAACAGCATCATATATATAGTTAATATTTTTAGCTTAACAGTGTGAATTATCTCACGTTACCTCTCTTCTGCTCTGTGGTCAGAAATAACCTTTTATCTCAGGCTCAAAGCAAAATGTAACAATAGAAACAAGGCTGATGCTGTTCTTAATCAAAGTTCAACCAATAATCTACATGTTGTACATAAACTGCAGTTTATCTGCATTGACCAATAATATAATAATATCAAATAATGAAGCAAAACCACTAACAGCGTGAGTTTAAATGCTGCGCATTAAAGAATTACAGGTGACGGAAACAGATGAGATAAACAATATGACCATGTTAACATAATGTCCAAATATTTTAATTCCTAAACAACACTTCTTTAGATTACACAGAAACATGGCTTTGCTTTTTCTGCTCCGTTTCATGATAATATGTAAAGTACAGTTCATGTTAAGCACTTTATTTCACTTTTAAAAACTTTTGTCCTGTTTTAATTATTCAACAAAAAATAACAGTCCTGGATGTTATCAGAATGTTGTTGTTGATTTATACGAGTGTACATGAAGTTTGTTTATCAATCTGATTCCTAACAAATCACATAAGAATAAGAATAACACCCTCCAACGGCTTTGCACATACAGTACATTGCATGGGTCTTACTCATTGGTTGTCACTGCAAAAGCACCTCAAAAGAAATAAAGGCTGTAACGAGTGAAGAGGTCCATTGCCCCTCCCCTCAAACACGCATAGTGTACTCACTGCACCTCCTCTGTGAAACCACTTTGTATGCGCCCGGAGGCTGCAGGAGATATGGAAACATCTGTGATACTGTTAGTCATCTTGGCAGCAATCTTAGGTGAGAAATAAACACTTTCATATACAACGCCTCCATCACGTCATGATTATTCAAGTTATCTCAATTGAATTTGAAGAGCGGACTCTAAATAATATTTGAACACAGTTGATTGTTATTACTGGTCATAGTTTTATTGGGTATTGTAGTTTTACATGTTAATAGTGTGATATTAAAGATTCTGTTCAGCTACACTGTCTTTTACTTTTAATGCAGTGCAGGTCACAGCTGGATCTAAAAGACTACAACATAAAGAGAGAAGTCTTTTAATGCACCTTTATACGTTTATTTTTATTATTTAAAAATTGGCATGGCACAGGAAAAACTATTCTCTATTGCTTTTTTGACATCAATGTTTTAGTGTTCTCGTGGCCTTGGTTGCATGACATTTTCATGTAAATATGACTCTAGATTAAACAGATGAGTTTTTATAAAATCTAAATCCAAACCTTATTATATATAGTTTTGTTGGCTGGATTTGATTTGATGTACGTTTCTGTTATTTCAAATAGGCTAGTTTTTAAATTTGATTACATTCCCCCCCAGTGATCCACGGTGCGTTGTTTTACAGTCTCAGTAACCTTTATCCCGATAATGTAACTGTCTTCTCCAGGTTTATGCTACGGCGAGGGTGTGCTACCAGACAGTCTGATTGCAGCTGTTGGAGGGAAGGTGACATTCACCACAACAGTGACTCCACCAGCAACACCATTCCTGTCAGTAAGCTGGAGTTTTACTGATATCCACAGTACTTCTAATATAATAACCTCATCTGATGAAGACATAACTGGACCAACGTATACAGACAGGATCACCTTCTTCAGATCTAATGGATCTCTGGAGTTATGGAATCTGACCGACAGCGACAGTGGAGAATACAGCATCTTCATCATTCCAAATGGTGCAGCAATGCAGAACGGAAAATGTAGACTTGTCATACATGGTATGTTGATGCAACGCGGTTGAACATACAGAAAACTAACTTTTTTGAAGATGTTGCTCCTTCAACCATTTTAAAGTAATACTTCAACACACATGCAGTGACCACAGAATCAAATATAAAGTCATCATTTCAAAACTGATGAAATGCCAGAAGTCAAAAGAATTTAACTTCTCAATGTCAACTTCTTGTGTTCGACTCCTCTGAAAAGCAGCTACATCTTTCCATAGCTATTCTTTATGACTTTGACCTATACCGTATCTTTCCCGCAGACATTTTCTTATGCAATACTGTTATTAGTTCAATAAAACCTGACTTTGATTGACATACAGGGAGCAAGTGTAAATCAGGTCACAACTCGGGGTCAGGGTTATTTGACATTATGCATCGTTTTTAGTGGATGTCCTGCTACAGCAACAGGGTAGAAAAGCTTTGCTTCCCTTTGTGACTTTGTTCTTTGTTCAACTCAACCCACAGCACCAGTCTCCAATGTGGTGGTGACCATCAGCAACACAGACTTGGTGGAGTTCAGCAGCGTCAGTCTGTCTTGCTCCGTCTCCTCTGGATCCTCTCTCTCTTTCCTCTGGCTGAACGGCAGCTCTGAGGTTACAGCCAGTGACAGAGTTCAGCTCACTGATGGAGGCTCCACTCTCACTATAGTCAATGTGACCCGCTACGACCAGGGACCGTTCAGGTGCAGCGTGTCTAATCCTGTCAGTAATGGCTCCAGTGATCCAGTAAACCTCTCCATCAGCTGTGAGTTACTAAACACAAAAGCTCTGTCGTCGCATGCTCCTTCAAATGATAATGATGCGGTTCTGCTTTTGACTGGTACAAAACAGTTATGTGCCATGCACACCGCATACCCGTTTTCTCAAGTTACTAACATTTCTATTGGTGACTCTTTTGTTTACTTTCCATGTGTCGCACAATGCAGACGGCCCAGAAAATATTATTTTGACGTCATCTCCCACACAAGAATACTATGTGGAAGGGTCAGACGTCATCCTGTCTTGCTCAGTGGTCTCCAGGCCCCCTGCCCTGTATAAGTGGCTTCTGAATGGAGACCTGGTGTCTGATACTGGACCAGAGCTCAGTCTGATGAATATTGAGATGAGTCAGAGTGGACGCTACAGCTGTGAGGCCTTTAACAGCAAAACTCTGAGATCCCAAACATCTCAGCCCTCAGCTGTAACTGTACTGGGTAGGTTGTTCATCGTGCATCTTTGCAGCTAGGAATGCTGTCATTATTTAAACTGTGCCAAAATGCTAATCAATAACTTTTTCCCCACAGCACCAGTATCCAATATAAAGGCAAATGCCAGCGCCACAGACATTTTGGAGTCCAGCAGCAGCTCTGTCAGCCTCTACTGCTCCTCCTCTGGATCCTCTCCCTCTGTCCTCTGGCTGAACAGCAGCTCTGAGGTTACAGCCAGTGACAGAGTTCAGCTCACCGATGGAAACTCCACTCTCACTGTAGCCAATGTGACCCGCTACGACCAGGGACCATTCAGGTGTCATGTGTTCAATCATTTCAGAAACGGCACCAGTGATCCAGTAAACCTCCTCATCATATGTGAGTGACTAACTGGAACGTTCACACAAAGCTACGAACATAACTTATCTGTGATGTTCTTTTTGCTCCCTCCATGTATTCTATTGGTGACCATATCTTCTTGCCGCAGTCGGCCCAGAAAATATCAATCTGACAATATCTCCGTCACGAGAATACTATGACGAAGGTTCAGACGTCACCCTGACCTGCTCAGCTCTCTCGAGACCTCCAGTCATGATCCGGTGGTTTCTGAATGGAGACCTGCTCTCTGATTCTGAACCAGAGCTCAGACTGGTGAACATTCAGATGAGTCAGAGTGGAAACTACAGCTGTCAGGTCTTCAACAACAGAACGATGAGAAATCGAACATCTCAGCCGTCAGCTGTCTCTGTACTAAAGTGTAAGTTGGGGGGAAAGGGACTTCTTGTAGCTGAGAGCCTAAATAAGTAGGTTTAATTGTGTTGTTTGACATGGAAGTGGTACACAATTCAATATTGCTGCAGAAACAGAGTCGGAACAATTGATCTGTGCCAACATTTTTTTTCTTTTCTACCCATAGCACAAATCTCCAATGTTGTAATAACTCCCAACACCTCAGATTTGTCAGAGCTCAGCAGCTCCGTCAGTCTGTCCTGCTCCTCCTCTGGATCCTCTCCCTCTTTCCTCTGGCTGAACGGCAGCTCTGAGGTTACAGCTGGCGAGAGAGTTCAGCTCACTGATGGAGGCTCCACTCTCACTATAATTAACGTGACCCGCTACGACCAAGGACCATTCATTTGTCATGTGTTCAATAATTTCAGTAATTACACCAGCGATCCAGTGAAACTCGACATCAACTGTGAGTACTCTCCGATGTCACAGCGTCTGCGTGCATACGCCACACAGACGTTTACATAATTATTACAACCGTCATGTCACAGGTGGGTTTGTCTAAATGACTTATTGTGCTCCTTGCTGTTTGATTGCTGCCGTGTTTGGTTGCCGCTGAGTAAATGACAGCTGCATTTAGCTTAATGATGCAGTTTGGCATTGTAACGACACAATTACCAGTAATGACCCCTTCACACTGAGCCAAGCAAGAAGCAATATCAACCTTTTCTCAAGCAACCGTTATTTTATTGTTGAAGATACTATTTGATATCGTTTTCCCCCAGATGGCCCAGAAAATATTCATTTGAAAATATCTCCGTCACAAGAACACTTTGAGGAAGGATCAAACATCAGCATGATGTGCTCAGCTGACTCCAGACCTCCTGCCCTGTTTCAGTGGTTTCTGAATGGAGACCTGTTGTCTGGTACTGGACCAGAGCTCAGACTGATGAATATTCAGATGAGTCAGAATGGACGCTACAGCTGTCTGGCCTTTAACAACAAAACCCTGAGAAATCAAACATCTCAGCCTGCAACTGTCTCTGTACCGAGTGAGTTAGAATCGGTTAAATGGTTCCAACACAATGGCTTTAAGTTTTTAATTCTTGACTTGCTGCTAGTCTCTTTTTACCTATTTTTCACAGCACCGGTCTCCAATGTGGTGGTGGCTTCAAACAACACAGACTTGGTGGAGTTCAGCAGCTCCGTCAGTCTGTCCTGCTCCGTCTCCTTCCTCTCTTTCCTCTGGCTGAACAGCAGCTCTGAGGTTAAAGAAAGTGAGAGAGTTCAGCTCACTGATGGAGGCTCCACTCTCACTATAATTAATTTGACCCGCTACGACCGGGGACCGTTCAGGTGCAGCGTGTCGAATGGTGCCACTATTGAAACCAGCCAACCGGTGAATCTTTTCATCCAGTGTAAGTTTATGACAAAGGGACTTGTGCCAAGTATTGCCACTTTTACTTTACTTTATAATTGTGATTCTCAGTTGTTATACATAGAGATGTCCCCAGCATATTGTTCAAAGACTCACAACTGTAACAGTACATCTGATTCTAAAGACTGAAAGACAAATATAACACAGAAAAAAAATCATGGACACATCCTCTACACGAATACAGCCAAACTACAGTGTCCTCAAACAATCTGACTCTTTGGTTTGTTTTGTTTACAGATGGACCTGACAACATAGCCATCAAAGCACCTAAAACAGTGCGTGTCGGAGATTTCACAATGCTTTACTGCTCCACTATGTCCGTACCAGCTCCAACGTTCACATGGCTTTATGATGGAAAGCCAACCAGCATGCAGGAGTCTGTGTACATTATCCCCTCCATCAGAAGCTTTGACGGTGGGACGTACACCTGCACTGCTGTCAACGCCGCCACAGGGCTGAGTCAAACAGTGAGCCACAAGTTAACTGTTGGAGGTATGTATAAAAACAAGTAAACTGACAGAGAAACATATCCCAATGAGACGTGTATTTTTCTCTGTGTTTAGGAGAAATGCATTTAGGATATTCTTCATGTTTCTTTTCCAGATTTTTCAGACTGACTGCTCAGTTGCTGCTGGGAAGGCTACAATCATAACATTTGGATGTCTTCTAATTATTGCAATTGCGTGTGGAACAATTGTTTATTGTATGATAAGAAGGAATAGGTAAGCATGCTGTAAGCAAGTACATTTACAATTTAGTACTGTACTAAATTACAAATACTTCTTTTACTAAACTTTTACTTTACACTTCTATTCCAATACATTTCAGGGGAAATGTACCGCAGGAACGCAGGATTCTTAATGTAATAAAGTATTTTACTTTTACTTGAGTAAAACACATGACTTACATCTTAACAAGCCCTTATTTTAATTTTTCAGAGTCAAAAGCAATTATGCAGCACGTCGAAAAGATAAGTGTTCACCTGATCTAACATCTCCTTTCTTATCTTTTAAGACAATGGAAATACCTATTCCTCAATCATAAAAGTGACCTAATGAATCATGAGATTTAACAAACTTCTGCTTTGAACCTCAGAAAAATTAAGTGTGAGGGAGAACCGTTCAGACGTGTATACGCTCTCAGTAACAGCATCGAATGGCTTGACCTCTTTTGACGGTGAGTTGAATGTGACTGAATGATATATTTATTTTGAAAGAGAGAACATTCACATTTCTTTGAGTCCACATTTCCATATCTCTCCAATCATTTCACTTTTCCAGCATAAATAAAATCGGGAAACAAACACAAATAAGAAGCCTTCCCAAAACCAACAGTCTCAAAGAAAAACAGCAGTTTTATAGTTTTTTGTATTATTGTATTTATTCAACCCAACCATGTTCTGCCTCTCAGACTACTCTTCACTGTGCCGAGTTTAATGTTGTATGCATCTTCATTGCAACATTTGTGTAACCTGGTTTTACAATAAGAATTTGTTCAAAATAGATACCAACTGTATGCATAATGTAATATAATAAACACTGTAAATAATTAGAATAATAGCAACCATTGAAACAAAGTAAAGGATGTGTCTATTATTATACATGTAAATATGTGTGTATATTCAATAAACACTGTATCTGGATCCCCAGTGACTCCTGTATGGTTTTACCATCATAAATCCACAACAACGTTAAGACAGGCAGCACTGGTAACCTGGTATCTGCTGTAATCGTCTCTGGGTTGAACTACTGGGATTAAATCCTTCACTTCTGTTGAACACGACCAATCTCTGCAGATGCAGCCATGCACTGCTGTCACTTTAGAGTTGCTGGTATAGGCAAACGCTCTGTTTGTTGGCCTGCTGTGTCCCCCTGCTTCCATTCTTTATGCTAAGCTAAGCTATTGGCCTGCTGATTCTAGCTCTATACATAGAGTTTTAACAATGACCAAAAGCTTTTGCAAACCTTAACTAAGCAGTTGTAGTTGCCTAAACTTAAACATTCTAAGAGCTGGCAGATTGTATATGATATACAGTATATAAACCCATATTACAAAGTGCTTCATATTTAGATGTTTAAACACACACATACAGTCTATATACACATACATGCATGTTTAAACATCTAAATATGAAGCACTTTGTAACATGAGTTTTGAAAAGTCCTATGTAAATTAAGTTTTACTGAAACCATTACTTATTCTATAATGGCACACACTGCACATGCAGTTAGTCCACTGTGCACTACAATTTAAACTTGGCTTTTTGACAATGCTCAGTCTATCAAGTAATAAAATACTTTGAGTTAATCTTTCAAAAGTGTGGGTTGGGGATTTGTTTGGCAACAGGTTTGAATTATTATAAGAGTGTTTATCAATTGGTGAACTGGTGACATGTCCTCTGCCCAGCGTAATCTGAGAAAAACCCTAGATAGAGAAAACAAATGACTGTCTCCTCAGTTATTGTGGCCTTGAAGATGAAACAATTTTATAATTCAAGTGACACAAAAATATGTAGGTAATTGAACTCCTCTTTTCTTTCATCATCAAAAGTGATGTTAGTCTCTTCTGTCAAAACAGGCATGTCATATAGACAACTGTAGCATTTAGGTATTTTTGCTAAATTAAAGGAGAGAGTAATATATATCGTTTGTCTAATTAGTATATTTCTGACAATATGTGAAATGTTCATAAAAGGTCCCAGTGCTTTGTAGATCATCACACCATCAGTCTTGTTAAATATTACAACTGGACTATATAGAGCACTGTTACTAAGTTCATCATTTATGTCTATAATAAATATTTTATGTCACCTGTTGTGTAAAAAAATAAATGGACTTTGTTATTTATTACCAACAACATGAACTTATGCATTTGACCCTACAGATGTGTATCGAGCCGGTCAGGTCCAACACAAAGGAATTTATGGAGCCCTCTTCAATAGCAGCTCTCACCTGTTGTCAGGTCAAATCTTATCTTTATTATCGTTAGATTATTACTATTACAAACACAAATCTACAAGGTACAGGCAGATCAGGACAAGGACAGAAGAATGTCACAACGGATCTCAGTCAACTGTTCAGTCTCTGTGAAATGTGAATTGGATTATTTAATGAAAACACAAAAAAATATTTTTATCTCTTCAGAGCTCATGCTCAGAGGGCTGGAAGCACAACACACAAACACGCTGCATGTTTTGTGACGAGGGTAAAGTTGGCACAATGAGGATGCAGTCATTCATTGTACAAACCAGGCTAATACTGTATGTAATCTCTGCAGTTACTAGAGCAACCCTAATATATGGTGACTTTGTGTGATCTCATAGGAGCAGGAGGCACGTCACAGAGCATAGAAATATATACTAATGGTTTCTTTGCATTCTGGCACCATTGAGTCTGCATCCATTGTTCTATCTGATGTTACCTTTATACCAAATTATAAAACATGCAAATAGCAGATATGAAACAACAAAGACAATTTGTCTCATGTAAAAAGAAAAAAACATTTAAATAATCTAACTCAACACAGAGTTCCATCTCTCCTTTGACTGCAAGAAAATGCAGAAGTGGAAACACAGTGTTACTCTACAGGTTCCTACATCAGTTACTGATTATTGGATACAATGACATCCTCTAGCAACATTCAAGAGTAAGAGTAGTACTACTAGTAGTAGTACTAGTGGTAGTATCATTTAACATTTTGAAATTAAATGACCTGATCGATTAGCTTTCTTATTCTATCGCTTAATCAAGTGATAGAATTTGAAAAGCTCCCGACACTAAAGTCCAGAGCATCACTGGCACTTCTATTAAAGCTGGTGGCATAATGTTTTGTGATTTGGAGGCAGTCAGTCAGGCGACATACAGTAATTATGTAAATACTGAGGATTATCTGACATGCAAAACAGTGGCTTTTCTCTGCTGTAAAATATTAACCCAGTTAAAAAAGATAAGACTTGGCAGTAGCTGCACTCTGTAGAGGTCAAAGGTCAACCCGGTTGAAAGATCTAAAAAGTAATGACTTTTTAAATAGCTTTTTATCTTTTTATCAAAATCAAACCCAAAATACAACTCAGATTCTCTACTGAAAATGTTTTTTTTCTTGTTCAGGAATCACAAAGTTAAACTTCTGTAAACTGCGTCTGTCTGTTAAACTGTGGTCTTCTCGTTTACATTAAGTAAACTTCATAGACTTGGAAAATGGCCAAGGGATCCATTCAGAGCTCATAGAAACTTAGAGATGTAGCATGACTACATTGGTAAGAATGTATTTTGCATCACAAAAAAACTTTGGTTTCTGTACTAAACTATAGTTGTGAAATTCAGCTTTGTAAGAAATGAGTTTGTGGACCAGTTACACTTGATTCAGTTTTGACTGTAGGGACATGGTTTTATAATAAAGCATCAGTTAATAATTTGTCCATGGAGAGTAATTCCTTTTGGATTTTATTTTTAGACATTGAGAACCATTTCTAGAAGGATAAGTTCTCTTGTCAATCCGTCAGCACCTTATGAGCCATATTAACTCCATCGCTCCCAGTGTGACAGCAGAGGTTGAGTGACATTATATTTACACTTTGAGTGCCACTTACCAAAGCACATTGTTATTGAGAGTCCACAATGACGCATTCTGACATTTCACCTCCCGCTCTGTACATTCACAGGTCAGGAGTTATAGACACATGCGACACATTTTGAATGCCTCATTGTTTCCGATGATTCAATGGTTGGGTCTCAGTATTTGGACTGCCACTTATCAGACTGGGATCTATTCTGGATAGAGGTTTGTGAAAACGGCAATAATAAACGCAAACATACATAGAGACACGAAATGAAATATCTCCATTTTTAATAAATTAAAAATTCAGTCCGTCTGCAAATATTGAACCAAGAGACGTGTTTGCAAAGCTGTCTGAAGGAGGTTAAGTGTCTCCTGGATGTCTTTGATCCTCCTAATCGAGGAATGCTACGCCTCACTGCTGCTCCTCAAACACCACCCTGTAAGAGACCCAAAAGCACTCACCGAAGAGCTCATAAAACTGATGCACAGCAGGCCTCCACCACCATGACTCAGACTTCCGATACACATTGTCAAAGGACTAGTCAGTCATTTGAGTAACTTTACTGAAATTGGTTGGATTTTGGAAAATCTATTAAACTGCTATTAAACTGCTAATTGCTTTAAGATGAACTTGAATTATAAGAATTGTTTTATTGATGAGACCTCCGGCAGGATAAAATCGGCAGAAAATCATTAATTTAAGATTTTTATTTCAGTGGCTTACTAGTTAATTGTTAGAAGATTACGTCCCTTCATACTTTATTGTGTTGAAATTACAAATCGGTGCTTTACGGAAAGCACCGATTACCAATACCATGTCAAGGTTTCTTTAAACACTGCTGACCTCCATTTCTCTGGTCAATGGACATTTCTACATAAAACTAATTTCTTCCTCCACCCGAGTCTTTCGGTAACCTCTGACTGAACTCATACCTACAGGCGTTGGTGTGTTTACACAGTGGCATCGTAAACTGTGTTTGTGCTTTTCATTACTGAGTGGGGGGCTGGAGTTGGTCCTGTGCCGTCACTGTTGGACGTTATAAGAAGAGCAGGAGCACCTGTGACGCTCCATGTTTTAGATTTCGAAGAGGACTGAGAGACAACGTCACGTTAGTCTTCATGGACATCAAGATGCTCAGGACTGCCGTTTGTTTGGCGCTTGCTTTATCAGGTAAATTAAATCCCGATGATGTTTTGATGGGCTTGTGTCATGATTGTCTGGTTTGTTGTATTAAAAAAAAAAAAAAATTTAGGTTTGTGTGTAGGTGATGGTATCTTACCCCCGGGGCCTCTGAGCGGAGCTGTAGCGGACAAAGTGAAGTTCACCACTACCCTCACACCTCCTGAGAGTCCGTTCCTCTCAGTCAGCTGGAGCTTCAAAGGGTTGAACATCATCACCTCCACCAGCACCAACATCACTGGGCCCGGACATGCCAACAGGATCTCATTAGACCGAGCCACGGGGGCCCTGGAGCTCAGGAACCTGGTCCTAGAGGACAGCGGGGAGTACACCGTCACCATCATACCAGACAAAGTGCTGCAGAAACAGGGATCGACCATACTGAATGTGTATGGTGGGTGTAATGTTGTGAAGTTTAAAATATCAGAGAAATGTCTGTCACTTGAAAATAATTCTTCTGAAATGAGTGACATCCCCAAAAGGACAATTGATTTATCATTCATACAATTTTAATCCATATCTCTTGATACTGCAAGACTTGCGGTGGACACTGCTGGAATATCTAATCCAACCCAATACAGCAATCCTGCGAAGAATGAGACCTTTTCCAAGCCGATCCAAACAATAAATCAGTTATTCTATTCACTCCTTTTCCTGTAAATGCATCACGTTCCTGCAAGGATTTATAGGTCATATTCGTCACGTTCACAAACAATGCTCGGCATGAAATGCAGTGTAGCTTCTCTCAAGACTAGTGTGAAATATAGCAATTAGAAAAAAAAGAAATGTTAAAAAAAAAAAAAATCTAAAATCAAGGATCAGTACAATTGTAGATAGAGAGCAGACATTCCTTCACTCATTCATCCATTTACTCATTGTATTGACACTCTTTATGTTCTGCCAGCGCTGATCACTGGAGCCATCATCCGCAGCCCCGCAGCCGTCTTGATAGAAGACAAAAGCTCCACCAACCTCAGCTGCGATGCTTTCGGCTCCATCAGCACCAGAGTGTGGACCAAGGACAATCAGCCGCTCCACCCGAGTGGCAGAGTCACCTTCTCCATGGACAACAAGACGGTGTTCCTGCATCCTGTTCACAGCTCCAACCACGGCACCTACCAGTGTCGAGTCAGCAACCCAGTCAGCACCATGACTGTGGCCCATGATCTCACTGTCAACTGTGAGTACTGCTCACTCAACACTTCTAGTAACCATTTATTAGGAAAAGAAAAAGAAACTGAAGACTGTATTACAGTTATAGCTCTAATAAAGTACAGTTTATACAGTGGTGAAATGTAATATTAGTACTTTCACAAGGACCTTAATACTTGTACTTCTCTTCTCTGTGCAGTTGGACCACATAACATATCGATTACTGGTCCAGCAGCAGCAGCACTTGGCCAGAGAGTCACACTGGAGTGCACAGCAGACTCCGTCCCACCAGCAAACTTCAGCTGGATGTTGAACGGCAATCACACAAATGTAAATGACTCCATGTACATCATAGAGAGGTTGGAGGCAGAAAACGTCGGGAATTACACCTGCACCGCCACAAATATGGTGACAATGATGGAAAACTCCACGGTTCTGAATCTGAGAGGTGAGACATTTCTTTTTCCAATAGAGTCAGGAAAGTGATGCATTCAGTTAGTTGTCAATAACATATGCATTTTGACAGTGTTTTCTACATTTTAAAGCAAGCTGGCGATTGCAAGTGGTGATGATTGTTGTCTTTTTTACTCCATAAAGCATCCTGCTGTGCTCCCCGCTGGTCGTTTTTATTGCTGCTCATCAGCACACTGATTCTGAGAGGGTTAATGTAAGAGGGAGTAGCAGGTGAGATTAATCTAAAATAAGATGATATATCTGTTTTATCCTTTTGTTCTTTTTCACCATCGTACTAATTTACATTGTTGTTGTTTTCCTCAGTTTCTTGCGTCGCTGATGCATTTTTCTCATGGCCAAGGACCCCGATCAAAATCAATAAACAATGTGCTGCACATTACATGTTTATTTGACTCAAGAGACATTAATGTTACAGCTCGTCATTTGTGAGACAAAGTGGAAACTCTCACATTTGGAAAAACAACTATCCGTGTGTCTTCATTAAACACACTTTGGGAGAAGTCAAATAAACCCCTGTGCCCTCAACAAGAGAGTTGAGGTAGAGTTTGTGTGGGTGATAATATGCAGGTGCGATTGTTCCACGTTGTTTTTTTCTCTTATATCAAACTGTATAATGCATATTTGCATCCTGTGTTGATGAAAAATGATCCATGTATACTGTAAATGCATAATTTGCCAAGGATGATGTTGCTGAAAGAAGTGACATTTAATAGACAAAGCTAGTTTGTGCCAAATATTATTCCTGTTTACACCGTGAAATAAATCTCAACATTTGAATTTTAAAAAATTAAAACCTGTTTAGGAATTAGGCGACATTTTATTTATCGACATTTTAACTGCAGCCCTACACATCAACTCTACTTTCAGGTCCTGTGAATTAAGCTGTGAGATGAAGTGTCACATTGACTAAAACGTTTTTAGATCCTTTACTTGAAGTGGTAATCCTTCAGATTTCAGTCCGGTCAGATAACAATTTCTCTATGAGTGAAAACCATGGAATTGTGCTTCAAGTGTAGAAATCTGGAGTCTTTTGAAAAATGAGCTTTAAGTTTTCTGAATTGTGACACGGTTCCATATTTTGTGTGTATAAAATAGAGAAAAACATGAGTACCAGTTTGTGATACTGCAAATATATAAATATTGTAATAATTTCACCATGTGGGCCATCGGCTCAGTCACCATTGTGTGCGATAGATAGTGATTTAATAGACATGCATTTAAAGGAAGATCTTCAAGATTGACACTAAGTAAAAGGTAGTAATACTTCAATGCCAAAATACTTCACAGCAAAGTCCTGCATCCAAAATCATCCTGAGGTAAAAAAAAAAAAAAAAATACAAAAGTATTATTGCCAAAAATGTACCAAAAGTAATATATTAGTGAGTAATGTCTCTTGGAGACGCAAAGCTGTATTTGCTGTAATTCTAACTATTGACACTGTACCATCACTTTCACAATGTTAATGCACCACAGTCTCCAAGATGGAAACATATTGTGTGCTTTGACTTAGAGGATTGTAACTCAGGCTGCAGAGCTGCCTGTTGCAGTTGTTATTCCTGTCTTGTCCCGAAAGACCAGCAACAAGCCGAGTTCCACCAACTGAAACAGGCAAAGCTTTGCATCCCTGACCCCGATTACTCTTGAACACCTGGGGCTAATTTATCCAGGGACTCTGATTGGTGGAGATAATTCTACATCACTTTTCTGAGATGCAGCTCCTACCAGGAGGCTTGACACGAGGTCACTGGTGAGCAGCTATACAAGTAATGCAGTGCTCTGCTTTATGCTCTTTTGTTTCCTCACACTGTTATCATCCAGTATCTCAACTAAAACTGTCAAGCAAAGCGAAACAAACCGAGTACATGGGGTGAAATCTGCACAAAGTACGCAGAATTAAAAAGGATATTACATAGCATTATCAGTCTTTGGAATTAGGCATCAATAAAAAAGGACCAAATCTGACTCAATGTCTCCAAAAACCATCAAGCCACAACAATCATTTTGTCCAAACAGCAATCACAAACCTGATTAAGCTAAACCTTAATTAACTTATCAGAAAATATTTGGAAAGATGCAAATTTGCATCTTGTTCAATGTATTATTTAATTTAAAGCTAAATGGCATCTATGTAAACATTTCACGTTTCCCTCTTTTGATTCTCTTTAACTCACACAAACACATTATCTCACATTTATGAAGATGTTGATATGAGGAGACGAGCTATGCTCCGTTCAGCACCAAGTCTTGCAAATGTCCTCATATATAAGGGGAACACAAGCTCATTGCAAATCTGACATCAAACTGCAGGGTAGAGGTTACATTTATAGAATATAAAAATACATATCACAAGGACTACACGTACAAACAAAATATCCAATCAATCATTATTATTACATATATCGGCTCCATTTCTACTTTCATCTCCAGGAAAGATGAACACCACAACAATGTAGAAAATCATGTTTTGAGTTTGCTATCACACTTTAAAAACAGCTTGTATGAAGCAAAATATGGTTTTTGCTTTTTGGCTGACAGCACAAGGAAAAAGATCTGAGAATTTGATCCACCATAAAAAGGGACATCTGGATACTTTTTAAAATCAGTGAGCGATGATGCAAAGCTTCTCATATTGATACAAATCCACAAAGCATAACTCAGTCCTGCTTATCTGTGAATTACTGTGTTCAAATAGTAAACTATTAAATTCTCAAGAAAAAAAAAAAAAAATGGTGTCAACATCACATTAGTGTTTCTCTCAACGGCATTATCACCTTTTGACCACACGAGGTCGCTGTGCTACTGGTGGATACTGTGAGGGAGCCAAAGAGGAATAAACTAGGCTCACTGCTTACTTTGAAATTACAGCCTTGATCACTCAAAAGTGAAACAATCGGCCTGTAAGAGTTGCGTTTTGATAAAGTGCTGAGAGATGGAAAGAAGCTTCCTACCGTTGTAATGGCCATATCCTCTTTTCTTTCTTTGGCGAGTCGTTTTAATAATTATAAGACAGCTTTTGAGGAAGATGCCTCTGGATGTTCCATCATGTAACTTTAAGCTTGAGGAATATACAGGGAGTCGACAAAATACTGCATACACCTTACAGTACTTTTTATTTATAGTGAGTGTCATGGTGAGGCCGTGGTTTTGCAGCTCTGTGTTGTAATCGCAGTCTGTATAAACCGCACGTCCGTCAGTCTGTGTTGGTGATAGACTGGTTGAGAGTATGTTCCTCTTTGCGCATGCTTCTTGTTCTCTGTATACATGTAATCATTCTTTGAGACCTTTCTGACGCGGCTTTACTGTTTTTTCAGAGTTTTCTACTGAAGCACCAGCTCGACGGATCTGCCTCTTTGTAACTGTAAGTTTCCTTCATGTTGATTTGACTTAAAAGCTGATTTAAAAAAAAACAAAAAAAAAAAAAAAAAAAGAAGCAGTAGGCCTATTGTGTTGAATTGTAATGCGTTTCTGTAATTTTGTCCACCGCCTGTAGTTACGAACAATGGAAACTTGCAGCAAATCACCTTTCACACTTCTGAAGGTGATTTTCATTACATTACTCCCAGGTAAGAGAAAATGTTTTAAACTTTTTAAAAGTTATGATACATAATAAATAAGATAATATTGGTTTAAATAATTTAAAATGTTTCTGTTTAAGATAGTTCTATAAATAGTACAGTTTTTTTTAAATACTCAGTAATGTGAATAAGTTTGTTAGTTTTGCTACACAGCCTCTAAAAAGTCAACAGTACTTAACACTTGTCATACAATATGTTAGAAACCACAGGGGGACTCCATATATATCTAAAATAAGGGGAAATTATAAATAATTAAGTTTTTGTTTGATTGATGAATGAAATCTCCCGTTACCATATCACCTTATTTTTTTGCAGTTCTTGAAGCACAAGTCAAAGTGACGGGATACCTCGGGCATGATGTCACCCTGCCATGTCAATTCATCCCAGGACCAAACGATAGTATTTCTCAGGTTCAGTGGGAGCTCGAACAACCAGATGGAAAGAAAATCAACATCATTGTTTCCAACAGTGTATATGGAGTTAATGTTTCAGAATCGTTTCTGAAGGAGAGAGTGGAGATTAAAGAGCAATCTTTGATCATTCGAGATGTGGAAATGAGAGATGCAGGGTCTTACATCTGTAGCATTGCAGTCTTTCCTCGTGGGTCATTTGAAGGAACCACCAACCTTCATGTTCAAGGTGAGTAAGAAATATTAACATGAAGATAGATCTTCAACATCAGCATTACTCCAAGCCAGAAACTAAATCTGAATACAATATCTTGTTTTATATTTTCTAATTTTACTGTCCATCACTTGTCCGTCCCTCTTACTAAATACATTGTTTGTCTCAACTACACAAATTAATGATAAATGAATTAGGATAATATGAACTCCATTAATTTAAGACACTCAGGGATAATCACGGCCATATTTCTTCTATCAGAACAGATGCAATTATCATCAGGGTTGGTGTCAGCTATAGTGATTGTTGTCATTGTGCCGTTAGTGATCATGGCTGCCATCGTTTACCTGATCTTCATCAGAAGGTGAGTGTGTGCGTAGCATAGAAATATAGAAGCTGTAGAAAAGAAACTTAAACATCCTCTAAATACTGTAACAACAACTACATCTGTCAAGTGGACGGTAATATTTATGAGGATCTTGAACTTCTTGTTCTTTATTTTGGAAGACAGACGGTAAATTACATTAGTACATGCATAGGATAACTATGCATTGTTTTTGTATTTATTGTCAGGCAGCCATTCTTTTCTATTTATTTGATCATTTTTCAATATTCTACTGTATTCTATTTGATTTTCTGCATTGTACTACACATATTTTAGTCATTGTCAAGATTGTTCCATAGATTTACTCATTTTCCTGAGATGCATTTCCCCTTCATTTTTAAACATATCTTTAAGATAGATGTTCTCTCGTGTTTAGAATAATTGTTCTTGAGAGATTTAGTTTAAATTAAGAGGATGTTCATTTTCTATTCAGTTCACTCAAAACGTGTCTTGTTTTGTCATTTAAAAAAGTATATATTCAAGAAGAAATATAGAAGCACTGAGTGCAAGTGAGAAAAACAAAAACAAAATTATTTTCCCCACCTGTTTCACAGACGTAAAAAATTTAATAAAAATGAAGGAAGCTAGAAGGAAAATCTAAATTGTTCTCTTGTGTTTATGACTTAAGGTGAAAAAAGGTTTTGCCAGGATAAACTTAAATGAATGATCAGTTGTTTTTTCTCACTTGCATCTCAGGTCTTCTGTAAATATATCATTTATACAAAAAGTTTTTAGAATTAGAAAGAAAAGTCACTTTAGATCATGCAACTAATCACAGGACTCTTGATTCCTTCACTCAGATGTGATCCTACGGTCCGGCAACGTGTCTACATTGGTGAGAACAAAAGCGCTCTCCACATCTGATGGATTTATATCTTTTACGTGTTTCAGTTCCCTTGACTTAAAGCGTGTCTGTCTTTCAGATACAGATGGTCCCGTGACGGATGTGGCCAGGCCATCCGTTCTTATAAGAGACGAGGTGAGCTGGTTTGAAACCACATGTCTGAATTCAAGTTCGATAAATTTCAGTCAAATTAAATGTTGTTATGCTGCTGTTGTTTCACCAAAGCAACATAATGATACAACTGAGCAGGCCTCCACCTAAACACTTTCTCACACTTATTCATAGGATGTGGTCTATTCTGACGTGAAGCTCAAGCGATCAAGACATTCGGCACTGTCATCCAATGAGAAACACACAGCAGACGATGTCACGTACTCAGAGGTCTTAATTTTGCGCCAGCAGCCCAAATATGATGAAATGTACACCCAAGTAAAGAGGAGTGCAAAAAAAACCCCAACAACTTAAAGCTGGTGTATGCAAGTTGCATTTAGCACAATTGATCAGCCGATCAACCGCTTTTAAAATAAAATCTAACCTTTGTGAGTGCTCCAGAACTTCTGTACATGCTCTCATATATTGTTTTCCCATGGACCTGTGTTTCCCCTACAGCAGGTGATGCAGAAAAAAAGGAAACGTGTTTTTCACCAAGTCCGCAGCACTTTTATTAGCTGTGGTATTCTTAAAAAAAAATAAGAGTCTATAACCATGCCATTAGTTCTGTAAGGCTGTACTGAGCTAAATGCTCACATCGGCATGCTAACATGCTTACAATGACAATGCTAGCATGTTGATGTTTAGCAGGTTTACCATCTTCATTGTATTGGTTTAACATTTTAGCATGCAAACATTTACTAATTAGCACTAAACACAAAGTACAGCTGAGGATTATTGGGACAATAGAAATCAGATGATGCCACAAAATGTCAGGAGATCAAAGTTATTCCAATACATCCTCTGGGAACCATGAATGCCCAGCAATCCATTCAGAAATAATTGAGATAATCTAATAAGGAACTAAAAAGTAAATCGCATGGTGGCGCTACTGGAAAAGTAAAAATATTACCAAAGTCAGCAGGATACATCGTTTGGGCACAATGAATATTTGTGCCACATTTCATGTCAATACATATGTGAGAATGTATCCTCTAGGGAGCTTGAATATCTGTTACAAATTGCATGACCACCCATCGAATAGGTGTCGAGCTGCTCAGGTAGACATTACTCCACTATATCTTTACATCGATAATAGCCGTTTGGTGCTGTATTAATGCTCTGAATGTCGTATATTGCAGGTAGGAATAGTGGAAACTGGCACACCAACACTTTATCAAGGTGAACTATTTATTTTAAAGCCATGCCGTGCAGAGGACAAACACCTGAACCATGACAACATGGCTGAGTGGTCACAATAGATGTCATTACACAAAGTTCCTATTCCTCCATTGCTTAAAAAAAAAAAAAAAAAAAAAAAAAAAAAAAAAAAAAGACAAAAAAGGAAGTAAAAAAATGAAATTACACAAATAGGGAACCAACTTAACAATACAACACCAGCGTGAGCTGAAGGTGCTTAGGCACTTCAAAATGTTGCTCACTTTCTGCAGTAGTATTAACTTTAATTGCCCTTTTGTTGCGATTCAACGAAATCTGACATCATGATGTTTAGAGACTGATGTGTACCGCTTGCTTTTGAGCTTATTTTAGGTTGACAAGATTTGAGTCAAAGAGGAAGGCTGGAGTTGTTGTGGTTTTACTTACAAATTCTTAATTAGTTTCTAATCCTGCCAATTTTTTTAAAACTTGCAGCAGCTTTGAACCAAAAACAATAATTGCATATTATGATACAATACTCTATATATTCCAACAGCATCGATACTGGTAATGTTTGTAGTAGTATTTGACCCGATACAATATTCTGTCTGCTTTAAGTCTGTTGTGCAAAGTCCTGTTTGCAGATGTTGCAGTCTGAGCGTGCCTGAAGTGAGAAGGTGACAAAATATGGTTTTTACAGTTGCTCAACATTACCAACAGTCCTTTTATGTTACCAGCTTGTTTTTAGCAGCATTTCCTGACAGTCGTGTTTTGTAGGTGTGAGATCATATCTGTTATGTAGTTACTCACTTTGTGTTGTCATAATATTAGAAAACTAACAGTAGAAATTCTGCAAATTGTCCCTATTTTTAAAAACAGGCTACTGTTGCTGAATAACACTTTTTTTTTAATGTACAGTAGAGTTCTTTCATGGCAAAAAATGGATAAAGATCAGACAAATGCAGTTTAAAGGAAGTGCATTATGAAAATATTTCTATAGCCGTCATGTTATTCAGATATGAGAAGAAGAAATGCAGACGTGTCACTGTGGTACAAGTGAGAATGATTGAGCCACACATTTTTGTCAGCTGTTAAGAAATTAAACTCTGAGGACAAACAATAAGCAAAAATGTACACTGTGGAAGGGATGATGTCTCAGTGTAACGCAGATCATTTTACTTTGAGTCTCGGTTGAGTCTTTATGGTTTTTTATTCATCTGTGGTCTTTTTGTGTCTCTTTGTAGTCGTTCTGTGTCTCTTTGTAGCAACTTAATTTGATTGAATTTCCAACAAGAAATCTTAACAGCCACTTCTTACAGAGCCTGTGGGCCTGGGCCCGGTAGGCCTGTTCCGTAAATCCATCCATGATACTAAAAAGCCAACTAAGTCACCTTCTGACTCTGGTGGGGGGGAGCACCAGGTCTGGCCAAGTTACATTCTGATACAGACGACATGAATTGTTTTATGTTGTCATGTAAAAGTGGGTTTTTGTCTCAGTGGGTCAGTTGTCCATGGTGATGAATGGCTGGTCTCCTTGATGATAACTTGATGTAAATAGTTTGATTCTTGAATAAAAAAGGAATTGAAAATGAAAGATTTTATGATGGAACACTTTATGGCACGTGTTAAACACGATGGTGAATGTGTGTGAAGCAACAGCAGCTGTGAGAGTGTCGGGAAGAGGAGATTTGTTTCCACACTCCTTAAACCGGTTTCAATAAGCTCTAAAACTGCAGTGGTAGAGGAAGTATTGCCATTGTTGCTGTTATTATGAACTTAACTGGAAATTAATTAGATTCAAATTTGTAATTCAAAAGAATCTTTGCCGCTTGGAGAGCTGAAAGTTTTATAAAACATACAGTGAAAGCATATTGTTGCTGTTTATTTACATTGTAGGTTTTACCCAAGATCTAAAAAAAAAAAAAAAAAAAAAGTTTGAATCCTAGTGATGTTTAGTTTCACCTCAGACAGTGCCTTTCCTCCGAAGGCTTTCTACGAAAGCTTAAGGAAATTATCTCCCATCCATAATGGAGCGTTAAGGAAACACCACCCTGATGAAGGCAAGATAGCTGAAAACGTTTGGGGAATAAAAACATGGTTCACATGGAAAAGAGTTGAGCCACTTGTTTAACTTTGACATTCTGGTCTGCAGAGCTTCAGTGCATTTTCTAAATTAGCCATGAGTAAAACATATTTGTAACTTCAACATATTCCACATTTATAAATATATATATTTTCATATACATTGCCTGGTGTTATCCCTGAATTGTATTCAACACAGGAGCACTTCTCTGCACATCATCATCAGTTGGCCACATGAGGTCACTGTGCTACTGAAGGTTGTTAATGGCAGCAGGGAGGAACGCAATACAGGAAATCACGACGGCTATAGCAGTTGGAAGATGAGGTAACGCACAGTTTGTGTTATTTCGTCGACCTGAAAATGTTCACAGTGACAATTTGCAGCATGTCACCGCTTGTTCTTCCGTGGCTCATTTACATCATGATCCCAGGTAAGTCAAAAGGTTTAAAATAAGTAAAAGTGCGGTACGTATTGGTAGCAAAAGGTGAAATTTGCTCTTTAAGAAATAGCTAGTGTTATATCACTGCTTTATCATTAATGTATTAGATTGCGTGTTAATGTTCCACTAGTATTTAAGCTGGTTGAGGCGGAGAATATTTTAAATAAATAGTTTAAAAAAAAAAGTTTTTAGAAGCCGTGTTATGTTGTTAACACAACATGTGTTGAATAATAATTTAGAAACAGGAGGACTCCATACATGTCTAAATATAAAAAAGAGGAAATTATAAATAATTAAGTTTTTGTTTGATTGATGAATGAAATCTCCTGTTACCATATCACCTTATTTTTTGGCAGTTCTTGAAGCACAAGAAGTCAAAGTGACGGGATACCTCGGGCATGATGTCACTCTGCCATGCCAAGCCATCACAAGACCAGAAGATAGAATTCATCAGGTTCGGTGGGAGCTCGAACAACCAGATGGAAAGAAAATCAACATAATTTATTCTAATAGTCGATTTGGAGTTCTTGTTCCAGAATTGTTTCTAAAGGAGAGAGTGGAGATTAAAGAACAATCTTTGATCATTCGAGATGTGGAAATGAGAGATGCAGGGTCTTACATCTGCAGCGTTTCAGTCTTTCCTCGTGGGTCATTTGAAGGAACCACCAACCTTCATGTTCAAGGTGAGTATCACAAATACCACTCTCACAACATGTGTGGTATCACTCCTCTCATCTAGCTCTTGACAAGAAAGTGAAATGTTTTTTAAACTGCCCTCTTGGCCAAGTCTCTCTTGAAAATAAATAAATGAAATAAATTAGTGTAAAATCTAACTACTCCTTTAACACGACATCACTGAAGAAAGACTCTCAGATGGTTTGACGATCATTCCAGGAGAGATGCTGATATTACCCAGAATGATTGCTGCTGGAGTATTCCTGCTGATAGTAGTGACCATGTTGGCCACAACTTACTCCATCATCATCAGAATAAGGTAGGTGTGTATTAGGAGTATACAGTATGAGCTGCTGAAAATAAACTCCTTGACCAAGAGGCTGCATGAGATTATATTAGTATGTTAACATTTTCGATTAATAACATTTTTATCCTCTACTACTGCATCACTGCAGACAATAGATTAAGCTCATTTTACATTCAGTCCATTCAAAATTGTAAAGAGAAGCTGCTGTTCATCGGTTTGTGAAAGCACTTGTACTTTAAAGGGTCTTAATGAATTGGAAGAAAATTTACTTCAGAGTCATGAGCAAAAGGACTAAGAACTATTTTCTTTCCTCAGACGTTTTGGTCAGAAGGCTTTGGTCAGGCACCGTGTCTGCACAGGTGAGAAAAAACCCCAAAACAAGTTCCTGTTCTTTCTATTTCTCAACAGCACCATATTGAGCCACATCTCTTGTTTTCAGTTCCCTTAACAAAAGCCTGTCTGTGTTTCAGATGCAGGCGGCCCAGTGATGTGCGAGTGAAAGAGACAAGGTGAGCTCGGAGTTGGTTTGAGGCGACATCTTTAAATTGTAGTTGAATTGATTTTTAGATCGTTTTGTGCATTTGTTTTTAACAATTCAACTTGATGGGAATCACATAGCACTAAAGTACCATCCTTAAAACACTCTCTCTCACATATACATAAGGTCTACTCGGAGGTCAAGCTCAAATCATCCAGAGATGGTACACCTCCATCCAATGACGAACACACAGCATCCCGGAGATGTCAAGTGCTTAAGAGGGATGGTTGGCTTTTACTGTACTTACTCTTAAAGATGGTATTCTGTAACTTGCATTTAACTTCCTTTTAGTAAACTTCTTATCACACCCTGATACAAGTTATTCAACTGCTCCTTAAATCAATAACAAGGCCTGTGTTATTCTATATTTTGTGATTGTCAAGAAATCAGAAAGACACAAAACAATTTTTTTTTTTTAGCAAACGTTACTCAAACATAAGTAAACACTGCATTTGTTGGTAAAGTATTTTCAGCTGAGGATTAATACACATTAGCGAGTATTTACAGCAGCATGTCTGTGTGCGTGTGTGAGATTGACTCAAAATAAATAATGCAAATGTTTATAATCATTCTTAACGTGGAAACACGTCAACAAACGAAACAGTATGGTTCATTTGTGTGTTTTTATTAGCTTTTGGACAATGCAACATATCCTCATACCGTTCATTTATCTTCTGAAAAGTGATTTCTCTTTTCTTGTGCCTTCTTCTACAAATATCCAACAACAGGAGCGACCGGTGAGCCTGCGCAAGCACCTGCAGTGCAGAGCCTGTATAGGTAACAAAATTACGTGGCCAGGTTTAGGAAAAGATCCTTAAAAAAAGATTGCTAGTTTATTTTCTTTATTTTAGATTATAGTTACCAGCGTATCCTGTTTCTAAGAGAGATGTAAACAAAGACAGTCGGCCTACCTGATCTCCAGCAGGTCGTTCCTGAGTTGAGGGGCCCCGGCACTGATTATGCTTGTTATGGATTATGTCACTGGTAAGACGTCCAAACAGAAGTAACTGATGATCCACAGGAAACTGGTTTAAGGCAGGAAAAAGGGGGAGGCCAGGTACAAGTTTCAGGTTGCACAGGAGACGTAAAAATCCCAGGAGAAGGGACGCAAACCTATGAAGCACAACACTGACTAATAGCAACTACCTGGGGAAAAGAGGCTGGTATATGTACAGCAGGGCTGATTAGGGAAAGTGGAAACAGGTGAGCAGGTGAATGAGAGTCAGGTGAGTGGGACCGCTGGGAAGGTCCGAGGGCATCTGGTGGACAGGTAGGGAATGGCAGGTCTGGGGAGCTGGAGGAGAGTACGTGGTCTGCAGGGGGAGATGAGCCGGGTCTGGAGAGAGGGACAGAGAGCCAGTCAAGAAGAACTAAACAGTAGGACTCCCTCTGTGCTGTCAGAACATGTCAGAGCAGCATCTGTTTTTCTGTGTAAAAACATCCTTGAAGGCTCATTTCTTTTATTTTTCATGTTTTGTGTCGTTTCATTTATTTTATGTTGAAATTCAGTGCTTAAGACATTTGATTACAATTACCATGTGTGCCGTCAGGACTCGAGAGAACAAAAGTACATTTTTTCTGATGTGTAAAAAACTAAAAGGGCTGGTATCACCTTTTTTGAATTTGTTGTTCAATTACATCTGCTTTCTGTTGTAAGTCAGTCATTACGTTGTGTTTATAATCGGTGTAATGCTTTGTGAGATTACTCAGTCCTGTTGCTTGATAAACACATTAAATCATGCTTGTGGCAAAACATACAGAAAAAACAGTACACAGTTCTGTAAACTGTCTCTACATTTGCTTTAAAGCAGAACTTGATTTTGTTTTACAGCTATTGCTTAATAAAGCTGCAGATTTTCACAGAGCTCACCAAATGTTTGGTTTCTCTTTTTCCGTATGTGTTGTAGAGCTCTATCATGACAGGAAACAAGAACGATACGACAAATGTTGTTTGAAGCGAGTAAAAGCCATTTTTCTGCAGAATGAATACTTGAATTTTTGCAGTACATTTTGCTAATAATACCTCTACGCTTTCACTGTTACATTATTGTAGTGGCACTTTTACTTGAGTAAAAGATCTGAGTACTTCCTCCACACCTGGCATTACGGCAGCATTTCCATATCAGTAAGGAAGAGGAAAAGTGCTGTTTGAATATTTTTATTCCAAAAGAAGTTTGTGTCTATAGGTTTGAACAACAGGGCGATCTCACTGAAGAACATCATTGCACCTTCGTCCCAACACCACCCATCCCCCACCCATCCCCCACCCTTCACCCACAATCACACCATAGAACCTCTTGGTCTTCAATAGGAATAATAACAATGTAATCATAATATTCATCATCAGTTTTGATAATCCATTTAGCACTAGTATAGAAATGTGAAAAAATACCAAAGAAAAAAAAAAAAAAATTGAACAAAAAGGTTTGTTTTATGGAGCGACTGTTCAGACACGCCAACTGATTTGTTTTGTGACCCTCCCTTCCCTTCATAATAGCAATTATTCACACTGGCAATATCTTGCTTTCTTAGGGTTTGTACCCTCCTCGTGCCTCTCCACAATAATGCTTTTGGCAGCTAATAAATGCTTTCAGCTGTTGACCACTTATTGGCTCTGTGGTGCTGTCACATTTGTGAATTTTTGTGAATTCACACACAGAACCAACCGAAGAAGACACAAAAAAGAGACAAATTTAAAAACAACAAAAACAACCAGAGGGTTTCCCAACCTTTAGACAACGAGGAGATAAGAAAGGAAGATGTTGCGGACGGCTGTGTTTGTTTGTGTGAGTGTGTGCGAGAGTACTGTGACTTCCTGTGTTAAGGGGCTCGCTCCTGTTGCCTTGTCAGCATTCTGAACACAAAGGCAGAAGTAAACAGAGAGAAAGAGACGCATCAAATCCAGGCCTGCGTCGGCTGACGGCAGTCATTCAGAGACACGGCATAATGTGTGCAAACAATGTTATCATTCATTATCTGGAGCACAACTGTGTCGACAAATCTGTTTCACTGCAAAATGCATAACTTTATACAGCAATGCAATGTTTGCCCTGACAACAATGCCGGTATATATTTGTTTTTCGCGGGATTTGTAAAGAGGTGAACTGGTGGGTTTGCATGTCATGTCACACACTTTGTATTACTGCTGAATATGGATGGGTGAGAAGCCAGTGAGGGATTGTTTTCCTGCTGTTTGGTGAGATCTGAGCTGAGAGCATGTAGCTCCTGCAGCTGGTAGCAGACTCACAGGAGTCGAAAAGGCTTTATGAGACGGGGACTGTGGTACAAATTCCTTTTACATTTGATACTCAGGGGCAAAAAAATCTATTGATACGTACAGGAACACTGACTTTTGAGAATCAGCCGCCGGAAAGTATTACATTCATAAAATCAGCTGTGAACAGTAAGAAAATACTGACACTGAACAGGATGATGGGAATTCAGTTATATCTTATTGAAAACATTGCATCAGCCAACACTCGAATCTTGGATCTCAGCCCCAGAAAGACGTTTTTAGAGCAAGGTATCAAAGGGTGCTTATAACCCCCCCGGTTCAGTAAGTAGTGAATCACTATTAGACAAATGATTCAATAAACACTGAGACACTGATGAGTCTACGACCTGCATTGCAGAAAATGCTTTGATAATGATTTCATATAAAAATATATATATATAATCTATGCAATTAATGCAAAAAAATCAGGACATTTACTTCTGAGGGGACCGTTCCACAGAGAGGTTGTACAACAGAGAACACAGCTGCAGCACATGAAAGTCATCAGATCTGATTAGAGTAAACTAAAGGGAAAGAATGCTGCGGTAACAAATCACAGCTTCATCTTTTACTCCGGACCTAAAACTGATCTGTTGTGCTGTGATTCTAAACAATCAATGGAAGCAGGAAGCAGAATTTAATTTGGATTAATAAAATTGCTGTAGAGGTGATGGTGCAGCCTGGTGGTTTCATCACATTCAGTTGTTTTCTTCTTCAAGGATAAGGCTGACAATATTGTATTATTTTCTTGTCAACAAATCTCATGAAAAGACCAAAACTAATGTGTTGGTGTGTCTCTCCAACACATTCATCACTCCCAACTCCTCAAACGCAGACGTTTAATCAGTGCTCCTGACCTTCAAACTGCAGCGCTCTGGGTACACTTCTCAACGTGTCAGAGCCACTTGTGACATGCAAGGTGTCTTTTCAAAATAAACTTCCATCTTCACAGGAAGTCCCGTGACAAACGACTCATGTGACGAAATTGTCGATGTTTACTTTTAGTTTCACATAGACATGAACAGCTGTGTGACTCATACAGACGCTAAAGGGTGCCTCTGTGCGTCGGTATGTATCAGGCTCCCTAACCAACTGTCGTTGATGAGTTGGGAGTGAGAACGTGTTGGCCTCTCAATACTTTTCGACTACCTCAGCCTGTTTGTGGCACTCAGCCACTTTGGTCTCATTAATGAGGCAACAAATATATACTTTATATGAGGCTTTGGCTACTTATCAGTCAGATCAGCTCATCAATTCATCGATGGTTTTGGTCTTTCCACTGGATTTGTTGCCAGTAAGAAAAATTTAGAACGTATGCCTTATTCTTAATGCTATTTGTAATTATACCAGAATGAATTGCTGTGAAAGCAGTGGGGAGATAGGCGATAAAGTGTCCACAATTTGAAAATTAAAGGCCTAAAATAAGCAAATCCAAAAGTGTATTCCCTTTATGCACCATAGCTAATATACTGTGGTGTTTAGTTTTAGTTGGGAGTTTCACACAACAGTAGGGCTGTAACATTACCAACATAATTAAAAGAGACCATGGTTCCCTTCTGAGCCAGAGTGAAAAACATGCATTTCTTCTCAATCTTTTTATCAGCATGTTTCCCTGTGTTCAACCCCCTCCTGAATGAGACCCAGACACCGAGGGGAGTAATTAGGCCATCGAAAGCTTGAGACAGTATTGACAAGGCTGTGTTGAGTCTATCACTCTGGCAGGAGCCTCTTCTGCGGACGGCCAAGTCTGTCTGCTAAACAGAGAGACGGGAAGAAGCTGGAGCTACAGTCTGCTGGCGCGTTAACAAGCCCCTTCAAAGATGCCCAGAATTAAAAGATCAGGACAGATCTAATCATGGAAGTAGTTCAGTTTGGGATTTCTTATTCAAATTCAGCAGTGTCCTTTTCACTCTGCCTCTTTCTATCTCCTCTGTTTCTGTTCTTCTCTATCTTGCCTCTTTGCCTCGGCCTCGCCCTGTCTTTCTATCTCTTCTACGCTGTGTGAACAGAGGTGAAGTAAAGGCTCGCCAAGTGTTACTCGGGATAATGAGGGACATTAATTTCACATTTCAAAGCCTCTTGCTCTTTCTCCTCTTTTTGTGGCTGTCTGATCATTTAACATTTGTAGAGGAGTGCTGTTTCTGGGAACATGGTTCTCCTCACTTGAGTAATTACAGACTTACAGGAAGGACACATTTTTACAAACGCACATACGCACAGTGTAAAGGAAGGCAGACAGTTTCCTCTGCTACCGTTTGTCATTATGTTGTCTTGAAGCAGCTCCATCCACCTTCCCTGATACCATCCAAAAAGCAGCTATGGGTCACAGGGAGGGACACAAAACTCTTGAACACAATTAGCCGCAAGTCAAGTGTCATTATTATGTTATAATTCACCATATTGTCACACGTAGTCTGTATTTAACTCTGTAATTCCCACTCAGAACAATGGTAACAAAACAAGAGAGACAATAAAAGAAAAAGAAAAAACGGGAAATAATTCTCTGAAAGTCTTTTAGTTGCTGTTTTAAATCACATATGGATACAGTATGTCCTCCGACAAGGCTTCATTTTACCAGAGGCGTAGTGGAGGGAAGTGTCTGTGGAGGAAAAACCAGCGCACTCCAATCTAAAAGGTGAAGTGAGAGCGAGAGTGAGGAAGGAAACGGAGGCCAGTAGAAACCATCATCTGGTCATGTGCATTTCCACTCAGATTTGTCCGAACTGAACTGATCTTCAGAGTTGAGTACAGAAGCCTAACAGACGAACATCTCACAGCGTGCTTGTAGCCAGTTCTGTATCTGTAGGCCTCAAGCCCAATCTGGAGGTCACGGTTACCTCTTTCATTCTCCTTTTAAAGGTTGCTTCATTTTCTATTGGCTGACCTTGCAGAGTTTCTTTTCCCTCCAACTCTCCCTCTTTTGTTCTCCGATGAATTTCACCTGTGGAAAGAAGCAGCGTCTCTCTCAGCAGCACAACATCACCGTCACAGTCACTCTCTGCAGCCCACTCACTCCGCCCATTGCTTCTGGTCTCAGTCCTGCTCACCCAGTAGGTCTGTGGTGTTGCTGTTCTGTGGAGGTGGAATGGGTCGAGAGGTATGAGGTGGTGGGCTGTGGTGTAGCTGCCTTGGGCTGGGCCCCCCTCCGCCCTCACTGTCTGTGTTGGATGAGGATGGGGGTGGGGGTGGGGGTAGCCTTGGCAGGGGTGCTGATGAAGGTGGTATTCTTGTTGTGGTTGATCCGATACTGCTGCCTGATCGCAGGCTCTGGATCCTCCGGCACTCCTGGCAGATCCGCACGTGGGTGCAGCTGCGGGCAGGTAGCATCACAGGGGTGGGGGCTGGTGGAGGAGGGGTGGTGTTGGCCCCCAGGGGATCATCTAGGATCCGCTGGGGCCCCGGGCCTAGATCGGGAGGCCCCGTCCCTCCTGCTCCACCTCCTCCAGCTCCACCTGTCAGCGGGCCAGCTCCACTGTAGAGCTTGCCGTTGCTGAGGCGCATCTCTCGGACCAGGCGCAGGGGCCTAGGGGCCCCCAGAGCGATGCGTGTGGGATGGCGCAGGGCTGTGGAGCTGCTGAGGGGCCGACGGCGGCGCATACGGGAGCTCTTCTTACAGGAGACGGCGTTTCTGAACTCTGTGATCATCTCCTGACAAACAGACACCTAAAGGAGAAAGGAAAGGAGGGAAGAAAGAGGGAAAGGCGGAAGGGAAGGAGGCAAAGGTAGGAGGGACGCCACAGACACAAAGTAGGCAGGCAGCAGAACAAGACGGTGGTAAAGCAGTACATAAATAAGAGAACGGAGGGACAACAACAAAATTTAAAGGAAAATAGCAAAAAAAGAAGGCGGGAACAAGGCAGAAAGAACAGACACGGTACAGCATGGTAAAAGAAAAAGTCGCAGGAGAAGCGAGGGCACAGAGACCAACAAATGGTGGGATGGTTTTAAAACAGAGATGAGGAGGCGATGGGGAAGAAGGATGTGGAGATGAATAGAGATGGGAGAACATCCAAGGAGCAGAGAGAGTTATTACAATCCAAACACACAAAACACCAAAATGTTGTTTAGTTTATGGGCTCTTCATTATGGCACTATGCACTATGAACGGACAGGCAGGCCTGCAAACTCAGGTGTACATATACAAAGGCACACTCACGCACACCCTCACACACACACACACAGTAAAGCCACCCAAAAATGAATTCATCATTCCAACAGCACATTCCAAAAACCACTGTAATTTGCACACACGACGATCAAAATGCATCAACTAATACGTCCACTACAGACAAACAGCATTCTCATTGAAATCATAATAAAAATTCATGTGCTCACATAAACAGAAACAATACTCGTTATCGGAGAACAGACACTGATGACAGGAGGTGTGTGTGTTTGGGAGAGAGAGGAAGGCACGCAGTGAAATGGGTGAGAAGTAATCCAAGAATGGAAACGAAGAATACCAGCGTACATGTGAGGCGTGTAAAAGAAGATACATCATGACATTTAATGCCAGGGAATAAGATCACACTAATTTTTTTTATGCAAGCAGATATTGGCATTTCTCAATATTGCTTTATCAGTACCATCAAGTTTAGCTCACAAACACTTGCCGCCATACTGGTAAACACCAAACACTACAAGGGCACAATGACTTCAAAACAGGCAGGACATGCAAAGTGAAATCAAATTCTCTATTTGTTTTATACATTTTGGACACTACAGCAGTTCAGTGCCACATACTTGAACATTCCTCTCATCTCACATGCGCATTCATTGAACCTCAGATGTTAGAGCACACAAACAAACAAACCAACATACAAATGGATGCAGAAGCCGAGAGAAATCTACCCACTCTCACACACAGAACAAAATAATCAAAAGGGTTGGCGGGATGCCTGGTAACCTACTGGGGTGTGTTTGTGGGGTCGGCGTGGGCAGGTATGGGGGCATACCTCATCGGCCTCTGCAGAGCGGCGTGTGGACCACACAAACTCCATAATGGCCACAAACACAGCAATGATGAGACCACAGATCAGCACCACAAAGATGCCCCCAATGTTCTCCATGCCCAGACCTGAGAGTGGGCCACAGGAGACAAACATTAGCACACGGATGCAGATATACACCAACACTGGCATTGGTTTTAAATGTTTGACTTTGCTGTTAAATGTACTAGTCATGGAAAACAGTTGTGTAATGTCTTCTGTGGCTCTGGAAGAGCTCTGTGAAAGCACAATATTTCAGGAAATACATTGTTTGCTGTCTTGCCGAGAGTTAGGTGAGAGCGTAGACATCACTCTCGTGTCTGTACGATAAATATGAAGCTAACGCAACGTAGCTTATCTTAGCACAATATGAATTATATTTGCATAGCCCAATATCACAAATCACAGATTTGCCTCGGAGGGCTTTACAATCTGTATGATATAGAACATCCTCTGTCCTTTGACTCTTACTGTGGCCAGTTCAAAAATACCCCCGATAGATTCAATACTGGTCGTTCTTACACTTGATTTTTGTACGGATAAAACAAGCACGATATGACAGGATAAATTGGTGTTTACGTTACAGTCTTTATCCTAAGGATCATTAATCAGCTGCTGAGTGGTATCGCTCCTCTCATCTAACTGTTGGCAAGAAAGCAAATAAGCAAATATTCTCTCAAAAATGTCAAACTATTTATTTATGTCTGAGAAAATTACTGAAGTGATCTCACTTTTGTAATCTCAGGTTAAGGACTGAAGAGCCCAGACTTGTAATTGACAGCCTGTGTAACAAACTGCAGGGAGTTCGAAAGACATGGGCTTTAGCACTTAGTGAGGGTCTCGGTGAAGCATAAAACCAATGGATTTTTCAGCCTCTATAACTCCAATTTTGACCACTCTTATATAAAAAAAAGTATCTGCAAGTATCTGAATGTTATGTAAGTGCAATACTAAATCGCTGGCTCTTTCAATTGAATAAAAAAGTAAAAATGGCCCATGATGTGCAAACTGAGTGCTCCAGAATCACGGGCGACTGAAAAACTTGAGATTGACGGTACAGATGAAGTTTAATGATGCTGAAAGGTAAAGCACTAACTCTGTTTTTCTGGAGTTGCCAACCAACATTCTCAAAAGAGATATTGATCTGACAGCAGTGGTATACTGAGGCATTGTCATTGTCTTGGTTATTTCCACACACACACACACACACACACACACACACACATGTGAACAGACAGACTCACTCTAATTCAACTCCCATTACACACCACCTGAGACAAACAGACAACATTTGGGAAGTAAAGTAGATTGTGCTAAGCACCCTTCACAAGGACATTAGGTTAGGCACAAGCCATTAGCTGGACTGCAAAGAGTGAGGAGACTATTACTGGCGAAATTAGAGAGAAGGAGGGAGAGGAGACAGACAGCTGCGGTCGACTGACCCTTGACGCGGTGGTCCCCCTCTTTGGGGCATTGGCCTCCCTCCCACCACCGCCTCTTCAGTATCTCCAGCCTGTTATTCTCCTGCAGCTGGAGGATGGCCAGCGTGAGCTCATCTCTGAACGGAGACCCTGGGAAATGACAGGGAAAGCAGGATAAGAGCAAGTGGTCGAGGAGGGAAAAGAGGTGCAGCAGAAGAGCCCAGAAAAAGAGCTCGGGTTTATTTCACAAGAGGGCAAAAACATGAAATGTGGAGAGAAAAAGGAGAAGGAATCACAGGCATAGAATTCCTGTTGCAGCCTCGAGATGGCTACGAGTGATCTGACTTTGAGAATAAAGAGAGGATTAGTGAGCGATAAAGAGCGAGATTACAACCAGACAGAGCCAGTGGTACAGCTGCCAGTCAGACCGCATACAAAGCATGTCATGAACTAGATAACAGTAAAAAAGAATGGGAGGGTTTAATGGGTCAGTCAGTTACCCGAAGTGTTGTCAAGTCATGAAGATAAGCAGCACACCACAATGTGAGCAGTTTTCATCTGAACTGCTTTCTGCAAAACTGTTGAGAGTGTGTGCTTTGAATTGTGACAGGAATATTGTTTCTAGATCACCTGTTCTAGCCGTTATCCTCTGGGAGGCGATAAGTCACTTCCCACCATGACAAACCACTTGAAAAACACAACACAATTATCACCTACTGCAATACAGAGCCTGACCTCCTCCCTCCACAAGCATGCGTTGCCCTCTGAGTGAGACTGTTGTTGCAGTGCAGTGATTTTGACAGAAATGTGCTTCTACACACCGAACCAAAGTCCACCAGCATGTCTGTGTGCTCATCAAAGTGAACTATATCAGGAATCAAAGGAGTCTCCGTAAAGTATACGCTTATTCGCTTTCTTGCCGAGAGTTAGATGAGAAGATTTTCCAGTAAATATTAAGCTGCAGCCAATTAGCTGAGACTGCTTCTGTCCAACGACAATAAAGCCAACTAATTAACATTTTTATATCCTTTGTTTATCTTTTGAAAAAAACTAAATGGGAAAACAACTACTTACGCTTCTGCTGGGTTTTAGTGCCGGACAATTTCCTCCTGAATGCTTGTCGACTTCGGAAAGGCACGAAATAGTCCAGAACATAACTCCCTGAAAAACCACATTTTATTAACTTCTGGTCAGAGCCAGGCTAGCTCTTTCGACCTGTTTCCAGGATTTATGCTAAGCTAAGCTAAACATCTCCTGGCTGTAGCTTCATATTTAGCATACCGACTTTGGAATGGAAAGAAAGCAATCAATTGTATTTACCAATATATCCAACTATTCTTTTAAATTGAACTCTGCCTAGAGGTTTGTAAGAAGACTTGTTGTTTTATTTCTAAATATCTGCCTCAAGACCTCTTTCCCCTCTTCTGTCTCTCCATCACGATGTGCAGTAACTCTGCTTCATCTTTCTCCACACCTTTGTTCCGTCAAATCTTACTTTCTGTCCTTTTCCTCTCTCTCTCTCTCTTGTCATTTTTCCTCTTTGCTAGAACGGATCACTGTGATACAATGACACCACCTCTTAGTGCTAGAAAAAAAGGAGCTTCAGAAGAGGCGGACGTGTGTGGAAAAGCAATTAACTGCAAGTTCATTACTTCCAGTTGAAATTCTTACAAATCCCTCAGATAAAAAATTAATCAAGCACGTACATGACATTTTTCAGATCTAATCTCTTACCAATCTGTACTACTACATGTTTCTATTCAGCATTAATTGATCTCATGCAGGTGTTTCTGCCTCTCCAACAGTCAATTAAGTTTGTATTTGTATATTGCAAGAACATTACAGTGATTCCCAGTCTAGGGGTCGAAACCCCAACAAGGGGCTGCAAGATGAATCTAATGAGGCATGATATGATTATAAATTAAATCTAAACTCTGCTACATAATATTATGTTTAATTTCTTTAGAATTTTCTCTAATCTTTGATTTTTTTCTTGTGACATGCAGTCTAGTTTTATCTCTCTGGGTCTCAAAAAAGGAAAATCTGTATTTGACTGAACTACTCCCAGTTCAAACACATGCGCTCTGTGACGGTGGGCAAGTAGATGTTGCTTCGTATTAAAAGCTTACAAGCACAAAGGTTGAGAAACATCCCAAAGCTGTTGTTCTGTTAATGTTTTCTAACTGAACTAAACGATACTTACAGTATATCTGTTTGGTACTATATTTAGGTAGAACTCAGAGGACCATACATTATTTAATATGTTGTTGTTGTGACAACACCCTATTCAAATACAGTTGCAGTTTGTAACAGGACCAAAATGAGGATCAGTGTGGTATCCCTTGTGGCTTCCCTGCACGTGTTATCAGTTGTCCAAGATTGATTTCAGGCCTTTATGGATAAATTATGGGTCTAATCAAAGATATGACAGCTTTATTTGTGACCGTCCGTGACTTTTAAACCTTAAAGCATGACTGAGTGTTTGCTGCAGGCTTGTAAGCTTTGAAATGCTCTAACTGAAAATGACACTGATTAATCAATTTTGATGCTTTCAAAACCTATATATAGGCTTCAAAGACCTGTGATGATTTCAATAAGATGTTTTAAACTCTACCTATCTACTATCCATTTTATTGGTGATTTTATATCAATCATAAATCATAGTAGCAGCTCATAATTTTGAATGCTACGGCACATCCACCAAAATCTTCAACAAACTACAATACATCCACAACTCAGCTACCCGTCTGCTCTCCCACTCCCACACCAGAGATCACATCATCCCAGACCCTAAAAAACCTCCACTGGCTCCCCATACAGCAAAGAATCCAGTTCAAGATTCTCCTCATCACATACAAAGCCCTTCACAACCTCCCCCCTTCATACCTTACGGACCTCCTCCACCGACACACTCCCACACGCCACCTCAGATCCGCTGACGCCAACCTCCTGATTACCTGGTAGCTATTGCATTATCAGCTGCTACAGGTACTTTGTAACAGATGTCTTGTTTGAAAAAGTATATATTAGCATTATTACCCAGTGGCATGCCAATGCCGTAACCCTTGGTGTCCAGTAGGCCTCCTATCTTTGTGAGGTTACAGTTAAGGCCGCGGTAGTACTCGTTCATGGTGCTCTCCATCAGGAAGGCGTACTTAGAGTTGACCACGCGGGCGATGCCCTCCTCTGTGCTTTTCACGAATACACTGGGCTGCTTGGAGTACATGTAGTTCCACATCCGCTGGTAGGTCTGGTAACGCGAGTTCTGCAGAGGAATGACAACACAACAATGAGAATTAAACACTGATTACAGATGTGTTGTACACTCGCAGTTCCCACCATGTCCTATCATCTCACTTTAAGGCCGAAATGAAATGGAGTTCGAAAAAAATGAAATATGGAAGACAGAGAAAAAGAGAAAGAGACATGCGTCCTCGATGAACAGGGGAGTGTGAATAATGACAAGCAAAGTAAAACATCAATGGCAAATAAACATAAAGACGAGTGAGGATAGTAGAGGGGGGAAAAGCAACATGAATAAAGGCAACACATTATTCGCTCATGGCGTAGCTGATGCATCATCTTTCATACTGATGGAGGTAAAAAAAAGCACACAGGAGGTGGTTCAGCACAAAGCAAAATATGGTAAGCTCTAAAACAGGATTAAGTGTTTAAAGTGCACAATTACATGTTGCATCGCTGTGTGTGAGAAGAAAGGAAAACAGTAGAGAGGGGGGCATCTGTGTGTGATAATGTGACTGTGTATTGTATGTGTGTGTTTGTGTGGATTAGCCATTGAGTGGGGTGATGTATTGTAGCATTGAAACTGGCTTATGTAGGCAAACATAGACCACTCTTTCTTATATCCTCAATATGGACAAAAACCAAAGCACACACTCGCTATTTGGCATGTAGCCATTTCCCATGCATGCACACAAACAAACAAACAAATGTTTTTTTTGATACACTCACCTACACACTCCCACATACAAACACACCTACACGCGGAGACAAAACACACACCCTCTTTGACAAACACAGATGCCGACACAGATGCCGCAAGCGCTCTCATAAGCAAACACAGGCAGTCAGCCACTTAATACAAACAGTCATAAAGAAAACAACAGAGCAACTCAGAGACATGGTAGCAAATATGGGGACAACAACTTACTCTAGGCACAGCAATAAAGACAAAAACAGTGCACTAAATCACAAATGTACACATAATCGCAAACATTTTGTGAAAGATTTACGCTATAAAGACAACTCAGGAAATTGTCATAATCTAGAGTAAATCCAACTTCCCACAAAATCAACACAGTTTAATATGTAAGCACGGAGGCAAAAACAAACACATGAACCCGTTCAAACAGCCCAAACACAGAGCCAACCAGAGCCATGGCTGCTGCAGTGGGTCGTACCATGAAGAACGTCATGGTGCTCCCTCCGTGGATGGTGCCATACTCGATGTTGGTCTGGTCGGCCAAGTCGTCCGGAGACTCGATGGGAACCTCCATCCTCTGGACGGTCAGGAAGGCGGCCAGGTTGGCCGTGTAGGAGGAGATGATGATCAGGGTGAACGCCCACCTGTGAAGTGGAGAGAAGGGGAGGAAACATGTGAAAAGGGTACGTAAGGAAGGGTGGTATGGATACAATTATCTATCACGGTATGTCCTTTCTGCATCACAAAATTTACATATATAATGGTGGAGTAAATTGTCTGGAAAATGTCTGGAATACAAGATATTCTATCACACTGAAAATCAGATAAAAATCTAATTTAAATCAGTCCTGCTCGTTGATTTGCGAAAAAGCCCACAACGGCCTAATGTAACCAGAGATGCTAACGGGAGCGATACCTCAGAAAAAACAATATCGCAAAAATTCCCAAATATACATTGTCTTACAGTATTTATCACAAAGCTTTAACCTTCAGGTTTCCAGGACTAACAGTTGACACTCACACCCTCAAATGCGAAGATGGGTCTTTCTTATGACCCTTCTTGTCTAAAAACTTTCTTCGAGCACATGATGTACTCACTATACTTAATAATATCCCATATCTTGCTCGACTCAGTGTAATTTGGTCGTTCTGTCTTCCTCTACCCTTTATCTCTTTAGCTCTTAGCGATTATTACTTCAGTGTGTGTGTGTGTGTGTGTGTGTGTCTCTTTCACAGTCACTCTGTTGCCACAGGAATATCGTCGGGCTACTGTAGCATTTCTGTGAACTTAGCATTTCTGTACTGTTTGCTTGGTGCTCAGGGACTATAATTTCTAGGTGATATGTAAAATGTAAATGCCGTTATCTCACGCAGAGGATGAAAAATGCAGGTTGTTGATGCAGAAATTAGTTGAACCATTGAATTCGCTTTAAAACACTTGTATAAAAGGGAACGAGCTTTTGCAAACATGGCCATTCAAAATGTCTGATTCTGTTATTTGAAATTGTAGAGCTTGGACTTCTTGTCTTAATCTGTATTTACTGCCCCTATATAATTGTTTTTATCATATAATCTTATCTACTATCCCCTTTGTCATTTAATGCTTTTCATTGTATTATATTACTATTTTATTACAACTGTATTATTGTTTTATCTTAACTGGTTCTACCATTCAGCATTCCTTTCTTTCTCATTTTGTTTAGTACTTTGTAAACCTCTGATTGTGCTCCATACAAATGCATTTTATTATTATGGCAACATGTAAATTAAATATATAACATCACATTTAACACATCTGACACAACAACCAGAATCTACAAATATGCTCATATTTTACATTTCCAGTTTTTGTGCACTGGAGGCTTCAGGTTTGATGTTTTAAACTCAGATTTAACATGAGCACAGAGAAACGTTCCCCCTACAGCAAATTAATGTGAAAACAGCTTTCTAGTGTCAAACTCTGAGCTTACACCATTCTGCACAGTAACCTAAAACACATTTTTGAGTGGAAGGGACTTTAAAGTGACACAGAAACGTAACCATTCAGTAACTTACCACACCCCGCTAACACATCTGGTGGACAGGGCTCTGGGCATTATCTCTGATCCCTGCTGCATGAAGCCTCCAATAGGGAACCACAGGCTGTTTCCTAGCGTGTACTGGTTCTCCAACATGTCCCTGCGCTCTCTCAGACACGGGTGAGGGTTGTACCACTCATAGGGGCTCAGCCTGGTGGGGAAACATAGGCAAAGTGGAATGACCTTGAGGTCTAATGCACCTCTGTCATATCATTCGAGCCACCGCCAATCGGTCATTTGATCCCTGTCAATCTGTCTGTGGGAGGATGTTTAAACTAAAAAACTATGAAATGTGTCAGGCAACTCGTGTTCAACAGGATAAATGGCGATGGAGCTGCAGACTATGGGTAGAGTGTGTGATGTAATGTATTGACCTTGCAGCCAGGAAGAGCACACAGCTGACAGCCAGGTAGGCGAGCAGCATGAAGAGCCAGACGGCTGGAGAGAAGGGATCGAGGAAGGAGAAGTAACCCGGCTTCCGACCCTGGTGCAGGGAGAAAGAAGGAGAGGAGAAAGAGAGGTGGAGAGATGGATAGAGCAACAGAGACAGACAGTGACAGACAGACGGGAAGTTAGAGAGTGTTAGAAAACAAGGTGTCATGTCTCAGCGGCCAGGGACCAGCCCCTCTGCACCACAGGAGGGCAGTGTCCTTCACTGCACACTGATAGTAAGTCTGCAGTGCTCTGATACGCTAATGCTACAATCCATAAATGCTCGGTTTCACAATGCCTGCCGCTGAAGCATACTTGGCTCAGACCCAAAACCTCATTAGCAATGTAAAGCCGCCACTGTTACCGAGTTACAGAGCACTGACTTATTGAGCAATTTAAATTACACCGATAAATTTCACTGTGGACACAGCGGATGCAGCATACTACATAAACACAAGCCTCGGCTTCAAAGATGAGATCGGCTGTTATGTAATATTCAGTCTGATTCCATAAGAATCATCAAACAAGTGAAGCCCGTCGCCTTCTGTGTGACCCTGCCAGCTTAAAAGCAGCGCAAATAAAAGAAATGAAATCCAAAACAAGATCTGTTTTGCCCCAGATGACACCCTCACCAGTTGAACTCTGTACAAGATGCTGATCCCCAGGGTCATGAAAGGCTTAGAGAAGTCGATAACTTTCTCCCTCTCTGACGTGATGGTGAAGCCTGCTACGGCCAGGTCTGCTTTCTGTAGAATTGACAAAGATAGATAGGTGGATTGATAGTAGTGGGGGCGAGAGAAAGGTAGAGGTAGTGGAGGAGAGAAAACCGACAAGTGGTCAGGCAACTGCTTAAAAATAGAAAAACACTCAACGCTGCACTGGGTAGATGAGAGAGCTCTGTTTAGAATGACTTGCCAGATGAAAAAGGAAAAGTTTTGACTACGGCACTTGAAAACACATTTGGAAAAACATATAGACGTGCACTCTCTTTCCCTCTTGCATACACACACACACATTATCCACCATCCAAATGAGGCTAATTGCAAGTAAGCACTGGGTGGCTGGTCTTTCCACCTGTATAAAACCCTGCAGGTCTCTGGTCGCTCTGCTTCCCCTCCATCTCTTCCATTAAAAGCTAATTGATGAACATGGGCTGCTAATTAGAGCTGAGTGATCAGGCAGTGGGGAGGGCATGGGGGGAGAGGAAGCGTGGAGAGCTGGGGGAGCACCAGTGTGGCAGGCCCCACACAGGGACCATAGTCTGCTAATTGAAGTATACCATATGGTAATTAAGCAGAGAGGGGCTCTCATTAGCCTGCTTCAACCACAGTGTCTGTCAGAGGCGCACTAGGCCTGGACAGGGAGGGAAAGATGGGGGACAGGAATAGAGGAGGGTTACTGCGAGGAAAGATGGTGCAGACAATTTTAGGCAACGCTACTACTCTCTTTTGGGGAATTATCAAGTCAGCTTTTGTCCTAGATAAGAGTCTTGCTCCCCTCTGAGGGCAATTTGAAATATGGGAAGTTAAAGCGGACTCGTGGTTTGGGGCTACCACGCGAGTGAGTGCGTGGGTGTGTGCGTGCATGCGTGTGTGTTCAGCCTAAGTTTCTGTTTGTAAAGACACTGGATAGAGCATTTGAGCATGTCTCTGTGTTTCTGGTTTGTTTGTGAGACAGAGAGAGACAGAGGGAGGGAGAGGGAGAGCATACTCACCCTGTTGATTAGCTCTCCGACCATGCCAGTCCAAGAGCCGTTGGGCTCTGGAGCCCCGTACAGGCCATCATCCACCAGCTTGATCTTGAAGGAGAATTTCAAGATGTCTGCCAGCTCCTTCAGCATGTCGACACAGAAGCCCTCGTACTGGTCGTTACCCTGGAAGTCCTGGTAGTTGTCTCTGCGCATCACATATGGGTTCTCCTGAACACGAGGGCAAAAGAGGGGTTTCAATCCAAGACTGAGAGTATCCTGTTTGAGCAGGGATTAGTGACTGACATGTAAGGCTCAGTGTTTCAAAAACAGGGAAATATATTGAATTGTAAAAAATGAACTGTTATGTCAATGATAGATGGTTCAAGATTTTGGGAAATTTGAGTGATGAGAAGATTAATTCTACTCTCATACTTCATACTTTTGGAGCTTGAGCAATACTTTGGACTGAAAGAATCAATTTAGACCATTCTTTTTTTTAATCTGACACTTGTGAGACCCCAAACATGATGGAAGTCCAATACTAAATTGCTGGAGAACTCCTTTAAAATACATGAAATGGCTTCCTGGATCTGTCGACCTCCAAATCTCATGCTTCATTTGCAGGTCTTACAAAAAGGGGAACTGGGTGGGAGGGAGGTCCGAGTGGGGAGTAATTACTGTGCACTCTGATATTTTCTATGGCTATTATTCTACTTTGTGAAATCGATAACAATTGATAACAAAAAGAAAATGGCTTCCAAGAGAATGCAGACTGTGTTCTCATTGATTTCCTTTATTTGTTGTCCTGTATATTTATCTATTTTGAATCCTTTTTTAAATTAAATTTTGTATTTAATTCTTTGGTAATACTTAACATCAACATTCATGCCAATAAAGCTTATGTGATGTTATATCATAGCATAATCTGTTGCAGGGGATTTACTGTATCAGGTGTTTTTACACATCTACACTGACCTTAAGATGATGGAGCACCATCATGTAAGGGATTTATTGATTTTCTGATATGACATTATTTGTATGGAAACCAAAAAGAGCCAACTTGTTCGAACATTACACACAGAACACCAGGATTTTGGCAGTTTGAATTCAGTAACTATGACAGCTACAGCGACGGCAAAATTAGCAGAAACAGACCACAACACAGCATGAGCAGCAGCACAGCCTGCGCATCAACACAAAAACAACTCTGACCTCACCAGCATGATGGACCAGCAGATAGCTGTGACCTTACCAGTATGGTGGTGACAATCAGCATCTTGTTTGCCAGCGTCTCTGAGACATTGATATCTAGACTGGTGGAGTTCATTGCCAGAGTGTTGTTGGAGTACCAGACCCCGATCTAACAGAGAAGAGAAAGCAAGAAGAAATCAATGGCTATTGTGGGATAAATAATGTACTATTAAGCTCTTACTTTACTGCAACTGTTTTACTGTTGCGGCAGGCTACACACACCATCTATAACAATCAAGTATTTCAGTGAGTGCACAAGCACTATTGGTCTATTGTATAGAGAACCTTTGCATGGTTAATATTTTACGCTTTGCCTTGATATCCATACTGCTACATACTGTATATGCATATTGATTTAATTGCCCCCATTGGAGCCATACACATACCGGCAAATAGCATGCATTGTAAAAAAAAATTTTAACAAATAAACAACACTTTACAAGCAGAGCAATGAGCTGGGAGAAAATAAAAAGCATTCTTGACCGGGAGTTTTATTGCCATGTCTATTATTTTTCCGAACACTTTTCTTAAATTGCATAAAAAAAGGTCACATATTCCCTTTTTATGGAGACAGTAAAGTCACTTATGTACATAAGTATGTGATTATGACCTAACTAGTGTGCAGGGGTGGAACCGAAGCTCACAGAGGCATTTCTTTGGGAGATGTTGTACATTTTTCAATAAGTCAGAGGAGAGGTAATGACTCCTCAGCCAGAATCACAGGTTTTCTATAACACTCTTTATCCTGCCCTGACATTTAAGAGTGGTCTTTTCTCTGTGAACCACCACTGCCTGCCTACAGTGCGGGTGCTGTTGTGCAGAGAAGAAGGCTGAGTTAAAATGTTAATTATTGCAACGTAACTCTCCTGTAGAGTTGAAGTCTAGATTTAGGAACGGTTATCAGGTGGAATTTAGCGTTAGCATGGGAGGCAGTTGGCCTATAAAAGAACCAAGCAAGACGTATTAAGGGAAGGTGAAGAGAAAGTGTTTTCTCCAGTCAATGAACCACAACGTAATTCCCTCAGACTGGATCTGCAGTGATGTGTGTACTCATGCTTCATTTAATCTCAACTTTGAAATGCTGGTGAAATGCATTTTGATCTTTATCTTCCCTCACCTTTCATTCAAATGCTCACTGGAGGAGTCTGTATTGACAGAATAATGGCAACAAAATGCTCCTAAACACCTCATTGGCTGGGTCTGCCAACATGTTACTTTGGTTCCCCGCACTGTCCAACTACCCGTAACAAATTTGTTGTGGCATATAACTTGCACATCAAAGAGATAAAATGCCCAGACTGACAGGGGAGGTCTGGTTCAGAAAAAATGGAGGAAAAGGAATTCATGTGTAGAACAAAAACTGTAAAGTGAGACGATGTCTTTTTTTAAAGAAGAAATGACAGATTATCTTACAAATTAAAAGTCAAAAGCAAGAAAACACCCTCTTTATTACTTCAATACACGCAAATGGTTTTGCTGCTACGGCCTTAATTGGTCTGATATGACTTCAGATGGAGAGTGATTTATAACTGACATTATTGAGTAGGTTTGCAAACTTGCCTCTTCACTGATTACACTATATTTTAACATTTACAATTATCCTGTAATTGCCATCGTGGAAGTTGTTCAGCAAAAGTCATACTGTCACACTTTTAACACTTGGTTGGAATCATTCATGTAGTTGTTTTTTTTAAACGACAACACAATATGATCATATTGTCACCATACAATTCCACTGAAAGGCAGTGGATCACAATATGGATTTAATTAATGCGCAGCCCTGAATGCAACTCAAACCCAAATGATTATTTGAATCGGGCATACTGCTCAAATCCTTGAAACAAACATGCACAATAACAGTGTGAAGAAACGGCAGGGCATTGCTTGGAAAAATCTTTCCAACGTAATACAATTTAAATGTTTTAGAATAGTGGTTTCAAAACATATTCAAGAGGAAAATGTCGTCATGACCACTTTGGTCTATGTCAACAGCATGACCCGATCCAGTAGAGCGCAAGTGAAAATCCCCAAAACCCCAAACCAATACAAACTAAGCCTGAACAAATCCAGTTCTATAAAAAAGAAAGAGCAAATAAAACTCCATTAAGCTTCCATACAAATAGTATATGAACAGTATTATAGATACAATAGGATGAGCAGAACAGCAGATCTATCTGCACATCCACTCTGTACTAAGCTTGAATGAATGTCATTGTTTGTAGGCAGGGGAAGAAAATAAAAAAAACACCAGTAAAATGACATTTTTGTCATGTTTTTAGATCAGAAATATCAAGTCAACATCCAACAAACAAACAACAACAAACAAACAACAACAAACAAAGCGCCTGGTACAGAGTCAGTCCAAACATCAGAAGACATTCATAAGACATAAAAAAACACTGGACTTGACACTACAGATCTGCTATCAAATTTAGCAACCGTTTGAAATTCAGTTAATGAACAAAACAAGAAGCGAATGTATTCCAGTAGCCTTCAGATGAAATGAAAGTTAACACGTATTTGCAGCTACAACATGACCCATGTCTGATGGCAGGTGACACTACAGTGTCGTCAGATGAACCGCATCAAACCAACTTCACAAAGATATTTGGCGACTATCATGGGAGCCTGCAATAGCTGACATCTGTGTTAAACAGCTCCTCCGGCATAGTGAAATCAGACGGCTGACCTGTGTCTAACCCAAAGCCTAAGGGCGGTGTGACATGCTGCACGATAACAGGTGACTCCTGACCTCTTTGTGGCCTCCTCGGTGTTTCTCCAGAATCCGCAGGGTATAGTTGGTCCTCTGACCTTTGCTGTTGAACTCCACACGCCCTGTCAGACCATCGTACTCCACCTGGCAGGCAGACGGAGAGAGTGAGATGAGAAAGCATAAAAGAGGAAGGGAAAGGAGGACAAGAAAGGATGGTGAACACTAAAAGAGAGTAGGTAGAAATATTGAGGAGACTGAAATACAGGCAATCTTCTACATAATATCATATATACAGACTTTCTACAGTGATGAGGAAGAAAGAGACGGTGAAAGACTAAAAGAAAGAAAAAGTAAGAGAGACAGAGGAAGTGTCTGAGACTGGACAAGACAAGGGTGATTAGTTTTGGATCAACGAGGAGAAAGTGAGTGACTGAGCGAGGGGCTCAGATAGAGCAGCGGAGAGAGTCAACAGCTCCCTAATAAGACTCAGGACTGCACGTCACAGCTCAGCTCTGCCTCTCCAAAACCCGGGTGCTGGCACAGTTAGCAAGATCTATGATGAATGGCACGGTGCTGAAGATGGAGCACACCATGATGTTGACTAACAAAGGCAGATGTCGGGCCGGTGGGGAGGACGCAATGAGAGATGGGGCTCAGGCTGCCTTGACAACAGGTAGTCGATGAGAGGAGCACACAGACGACCGGAGATGGGAGATGACAAAGAGTAACAAGAGACAGAGGTTACATGCAACATGAGGATGATACAGATTGTTGCTGTACTGTAGTCATTAATCAATAAGCCAATCAGAGAGTACATTAATCAACCACAGTTCTGATTAGTGATCATCTTAAGAGGCATTTTTCAAATGCTTTTCTCTGATTCATATCATTAGAATTTGAAAATCTAAGGGTTTTGGGGTGTTGGTGCGACAAGACAGGGCTGCAGTGATTATTTTCATTCTCGATTAATCTGCAATTAATCGTTTTGTCTGTAAAATACCAGAAAATACCAAATAATACCATCACACTATCTTTGAGTCCAAAGTTTTTCAAATGTGTTGTTTTATCCGACCAACAGTCCAAAACACGACGATTCAAATTACTGTCACATACAACAAAGAAAAGGAGCAACATCTTGAACTTTTAGAGTCTGTAAAAAGCAAATATATGGCAATTTGGATCATTTCAGCTCTTATTTGAAGGTGTCACCTTCATTTTAATGGGTATTTATACAATTTTTCTAACATTTCATATGAATATCACAAGCGTTGACCTCTAAAAAATTCAACCAAACTGAGACCATACTTTAAACTCATATCATATTTGTATGCATGTACATGTGTATGAGCATGTACTGTATATCAGCAGGTGATTTTATAATACTTTAAGCATTTACCATGCGCAGGTAGTTCATAAGACTGGTGCCATGTTGCCAGATCTGGGGTGAGGTGCAGCTGAGTGGCTTCACTCCAATTTCCTGACTGCGGTTCAATTCCCTTACCGCCCCCACCACCACATGCACCGCATCAAACATCAGCGCTGACGAGAGCTGTGGAAGGGGGAGAGGAAACAAGAGAGAAACGGAGGGGGAGAAAGGCAAAGGGGGAGGCATGGAAGCCCAGTGAGGAGAGACAAGTAGCCAAGGGAGAAGATGCAATGAGAGAAGATGTGCCAGCAGAGATGATTGAATGGTTAACAGGGATGGAGGGAGGGAGGGAGGGAGGGAAGAGAGAGAAAAGATGTGAGGTATGAGTAAACCAGTGGGGAGGAAACACAGATGGATACATCAATACCCATTAAGTACAAGCAAAAGACTAGCTGAATCTCTTTAACTGCTCCATGAATGAGTGTGAGGAATAAAGTAGCTTAATGTTACGTGGCGTACAAACAAAGCTTTGAAAATCCCTCTTGAATGTGCACATGCATGAGTACTCGTGTGTCCGTGAGACTGACCGCGGGGCCGGGGTATGTTAGGTCACATCCCTCCCTCCAAGAGAGGTTCAGGCTCCTGATGAACTCCAGATAGAAGGGGTGGGTGGTGTTAAACATGGAGAAACCCACAATGTTTGACTGCTCATCCACTATATCATCCAGTCTCAGGAGTGGGAAGTCCTAAAAGGAAGAGGAGGAGCATTGCAGAGAGACACAGAAAATTCAGGTGAGTGACAATGTTGACAGTGTATCAAATCTTAGCACACACGAGAAAATACTGTGCAAAGGAGAGTGCGATAAAGAAAAAGAGGAGCAACCGGGGGTGACAACGTATAAATGTCAGATGGAGAGAGAAAACGGATATAGACATCTAGAAAAATGGGACAGCAGTGATACAGGGGGAAAGAGAGGTTGATGGAATGGTAGATTTTTCACAAAGATATATACACACAAGATGTGGCATCTAAAGCACAAGAGCACGTCATGTAGAGAAGAAAATTTTTTTTTAAAAATCAGGCGCACAGCATAATGTGACACATTAATTTGAATGGTAGAAGGGGAGGTGAGTGTATCAAAGGGGCAGATGAAAAACACCGGGAGCGTAGAGAAGGTGGCGGGTGGCAGAAGAAAAGCGGCCCGTCACGTCTGTCATCAACTTCACCTCAGACCCCTTTTCCTTCAGTTTCTTTGCCATCCTCATCTGCACTCCCACATCTTTCTACAGTGCGTTCATTTCTCAGATCCCTCTCTCTCGCTCCCTCCCTCCCTCTCCCCACCCTTCATCTCCTCTCTCTTTCTGTCACCTCTCTCTCCTCCCTTTATCTTATACTTCCTCTGCCTTAGCACTTTTGCTTGCTCATAAAGGGACAGAAGAGGAAGAGCAGGAGAGAGGAACAGGTGAAAATGGAGGGCTAGAAGACAGAAGAGGGGTAGAATTGGTAAGCTCTTACCATTGTGGTGAGTATGTACTTGTAAAACGCTGATGTCATCCCCAGCTCAGACGCCTGTGGGACAAAGAGAAAGAGAGATTAAGATGACAAAATAAAAGTAGGGGCAGGTGGGATACAGAATGTGGAAAAATAAAGAATGCGGGAAGATGTAGAAAGATTGATGGAGGGAGAGAGATGGAGGGCAAAGGGGGCGAGTTATTGAGAAGCAGGGAGCAAAGAAGAGAGTTGGGGGACAAAGTAGAAGGGAATATGGCGGAGGAGAGGGAGCATACGTTAATCACAGTTTTACATCATCAGGCTAACAGTAGGACATTTCGCTGAGGGCAGACAGCCGCTCCAATGTGCCCAGTGAAAGCATCCCATACACATTCAAACTATGACTCACCGCGCTGGCTATCGGCATTACAGGCCGTACATATGAATCAGAAGAAGCCTGGGTTACATCTGCACCGCATCCCAGCAAAAGATGTTCTTTTGTCAAATATTTTCTCAAGAGCGCAACTGATTGTTGCTGGCAGACATACATACATACTGTTCCCTATGCAGCCATGGAAGGTAAACATGCATGTTAATTATGTTAAGGCAGCAAACATGCAGCCACTGAGAGAGTTGTTTTATCTTTCTGACAGATAGTAGCTCTGCACCTCCTTCATTTCCCAAATGGGTACATTGAAGAGAAAAAAGCAAATGGCACTGTGTGTACTGTATACAACCTCACATCCTGCACGTATGTGCAGCTGCGAAGAACTCAGATTGCTTAAGAACTGACCTTCTTGAGGATGAGATAGGAGACAGAAGCGTTGGCGTCAATGATGATGGTGGCCACTTTGTCGTCACGGATCTCCTTCAGAAGCGGGGTCGGGTCCAGGTTGTCATCCAGCATTCTGATTGACAGCGTCTCCCGGGAGATGAGAAAGCGGCGGACCAGTTCCTCCAATCTCAGCAGGCCTGAGGCAGAGGCAGAGCACGGATGAGCTGCATATCAACGTCTGTATCAGTAGACACAAACTCATATTTCCAAAATGTAAGCTTTGAGGGACCTGTGAAAATCTTGATTTATCCTCGGGTGGTCGTGTATTTTCATTTTGCATAGCATGATCGATGGTTTGTCTAAATCCCCAGGAAATGAAACATCATTTGATCTGGAGGCTGCAGTATGTCTGCATTCACGGTTAGAAGAATTTATTTTCATCTATTATAACCTTCACCAAGGATAGTTTGAATTCAGTCCCATATGTTTGTTTCTCAGTTAAGTAACAGTGTATCTGCCTTTACACACCGTGGGCATGACGAAAAAATGACTCAAAAAAGGCAGCACACCTTTTCGCTGCACAGGAAGTATTCATGACAAAAACAGTTTAAAAAATGCATTGACGTGCAAAATAATCGCACGAAGAAGAAGAAAAAAAACACTGGTGTGTAAAAGGCCTTTGAGCCTTTGGTGGAGTTTTCTTACGCTGTAGAAAACTCCACCATGTGGCCATTTATAAAGCACTTTACATTTTGTTTTAACACCTGAACAGTAAAGAGACAGTGTTCGTCTGGATTCTTTGACGATACATGATTCTTTCAGGCTACATCCATTTACACATCTTCATCACTCCTCCTACAGACACACTGATGAAAGCAAAGGTACAGATACATGTTGGTGTGACTTTAATGGGTACAGACCAATACTTGAATTGTAATTTGTGTCTGGTAGGTTTTTTTCCTCAAACTTTTGAGCAGAAGTTGAACTACTTGACACAAGACGTCTCCTGCTTCAGTCCACTCAGTGTAAGTTGCATATTGGAATATGACTGCCTTTTAAACTACATTTGATGTCACAAAAGCTTTCCTGTAGGTCAACATTTTACTTGGTTTGACATAAACATATGTCAATACATTTAAATGCAGTGTGTAAATACAACAAGATAATAAATGTACATATGAAGCCCTGGTGTTACATCAAAATCCGATGACATTTTAGTCGTATGGCGCCACACCAACATGACAAAATATAACTATAACTCAGTGTTTAGGAGTCTGACTCAACTGAAATTCATCTTTGTACAAAGCCCTAATATTCCCAGAGAGGTTTGAGGTATCCTCCAAAATTGATGGAGGCCATCAGCCAATCAGTATGACAAATTTCTAAACATGTTCTATTAATAGAATAATAAATCTGGAGAGTTGTTCAGCCTTGGCAGAGGTATGCGTTCTTTGAGTGCTTTGTAATTCACTCTGTTGTCCCATCCATCAAGCAGTGCTTTTCAATTCTTTGAGTGATGCACTATGAGCAAAATAGTATGTGTTCAAAAAACTGATCCTTAAAAGAATATTGGAAAAAACCGGAGACTCAAGGAGTAGAAAAGATGCACAGAAATAGCAGCAGAAAGATGGAAACACAGTATTTGAGACGATTCACACACAAGCAAATTCCTCTCCAAAACGAGTATGACTCACTTGACATTGTGTGTGGAATGAGCCTTTACCATGAAGTCTACTCTGATGTTTCCTAATTGTAATTCCATAGTAAAGCACCCCTAGCTATGTAAATAAGTGGTGGGGCAGGCATCTGGGGGACAGAGGGGAAGGGGAGAGGGAGGAGAGGAGGAGGGGAGAGGTAGCGCACAGAGCCCTTCAGCAGGAGAAAGCCTCTGTAAGCAGTGGGGTAATCACTGAACCAGGCCAAAACTTTAATTAGTTTGAAGAAGGAGGGGAAAAAATCAATGTACTTTACAGCTTCTTCTCCTCCTCTCTCCCACTTTCACACATTCTCTCTCACACACATAAGCTCTAACCTCTCTATCTCTCTCGTCTTAGCCCTGTGCTCTAGTTACCTCACTCTGTCTTTATCCATCTTGCTCTTACGCCGCCACCATCTCCTCCTCCTTGTGCTCGGTCTCTCCCTCTCGCTGTCCTTAACCTCATCCATCTCATAAAAACTGCATAATGGAATTAGGCTCAGATAGCACGTTGTGACCCAGGCATAGAGAACGATATGTCGGAAAGGACCCAGAATCTCTGACTCGCTGTCATCTAACAGAATATCTATTCTACTTCCCCGGGCTAAAGAGGGAATAATGTAAATAATGCAGTCGACATGGTGTTGCAAAAAATGCGTGCATGGCGTCGATGAAATGTGTGACTTCACATGTTACTCGCGTCACTGACAAGAAAGAGAGAATGTCTGCTTCACTTGAACACACTACTCTACACCGGGGTAAACAAGATGAATAAAACAAGTGGGCTGGTGGTAAACATTGTCTGATGTTGAACCTCTGCAGCGCCTCTACACACAATCGTACGAGTACCCCGAAAAAACCTCACTCACACGCACAGGACGCTCAATACACACACGTGCACTCAAACACACGCACGCGTATGGACAAAGTGAACCAAGCACTCAAAAATATATATATCACACACACACACACAGAGACACACGTATCGTGCCGCACACACCCACACGGTCGTTCACAGTGTGGAACAAGCCTGTTGAGTGGCAGTTAGCACCTATCCTGCAGCCATGGCAACCAGCTCCATGGCGATAGATAGCACGGCCAAGTGGGTCAGAGTCTGCGAGTGTGATAACCTTGTAAAGATCACCTTCAAGCTATAACACACGCACGCCTCCTCGTCTCTCCACCGGTACAAGCTGCATCTTTTGACCCGGACAGTAACTGTGATGCTATGTGTTGCCTCTAGAGACAGACAGGACTCTTATATCTACACATGATCAAAAGGAGAAATCTGATGCCATTTCAAAGCTCTTTTTGTGCGATGAAATGACAAGTCCACAAGGAATTCAGCTTACTTTCTGGAAAGCACGAGACAGCTGGCTACCTGCTGGGGAGATAATGAAAGCATCTCAATGACTGAATCTATTTTTCATAATGTCACAGCTCTTTGTTTGTCAAAATCCGCCCTTTTCCCTTTGCCACGAGTGGTGTTCACAGACTTCAATGGTGCCACTTATTCTTTATGTAATTGCCCTTCAGTTCTTGCACGGTTCAACTTGGCTGGTGTCAGTAGTCAACAGCTGCACAACAGCTCAGTATCACTGGCAAGAAAAGTTAGGCGACCATCCAGTGGGAAAAAAATAGGATTTTGCCACCTCCGACAACACATAGTGTATTATTTCATCTATTCACAAAAGTTTAGTTTGAATACTACAGCCAACATCCGACCAAGCCCTTTAATTCCTGCGACTCTCGATGGGGCATTGCATAATAAATCAATAACGCACTCTTTCAAAATGAAAATAAAAAGTGCTAGTGACTAAGCCCTGAATCCCCTGTGATTTATAAAGCTCCCAGAGTGCCTGGCAAGTTAAATCCAATGTGCCTTAAGTTCTTCCAATGCGGGAAAGTATTTCAAACACTAATATTTATTAAATTGGTTTGGCCTAAAACCCTTTTGAGGTGGATAAGAGACGGTGTGCAAGAGTGCATGAGTAGAGAAAAGAGAAAAGGAGGCTGCAGCAGAAGCCATGTTCTGATCTCTGACAACAGACAGAACTTTATGACCAGACTGTCAAAATGAGTGTCCAACAGTGCAAAACAGTCATATCTGCCCAAGCAGTGTGATTGTGCCAACACTCCCACAGACAGACACACACACACACACACACACACACACACACACACACACACACACACACACACAC